GGGGGGCGTCCCCTAATGCGTGACTATGGCGGGACTTGACAGACCCGGCCCCCAAGCCCCAAGCAACTATGCAGTGACTATACTGCATTCTGCTATAGTCGAGCAGTACTTGCATATAGTATCGAGAGGTACTGTCTCGAGGTAGCTCAATAGAGGTACCTCGTCTTGTGCAATGGAGCTAATGCATGATTGTTCATCAGTCTAGATATCCTATGTACTCTTCAAGCCTGTCTCTCCCTTTCCCACCATATCTGGATGGAAGAGACAACTCGCGTGAAAAGTTGTACGTCGGCTTTCCGTTTTAGGATGTACTTTCTATACACTGCAAATCACTGTGCGTAGTCATGTAGCGCTGTATGACTACCAAGTAGTCTTGTATAGTCCATAGTCCCGGCACTCATCTACCGAGGAAGGATCACGAAGGTTGCAAAGGAAATCCTCTCTAGTTTATCCCACATTATAGAGCCAAACCCGGTTCGCCAACAGGATCTCGAGGACAGATCCAAGAAGAACATCTACACGTTTGACCCGAAGCGCCGAAGCGCCGAAGCGGGCATCTCTGCCGCAGTAGATCCAGAGCAACAAGAAGGAAAAAAAAAAGACCCCACGAATCCACATCTAATCGCGCGTCAAACAAGGCAAACATAAAAAGCAGCTTGCAGGCCAGGAGTAAACTCTAAAAAGAACACCCCCATATACGCTAGATTGTTCGGGTAGCAAAATGTCCGAGCTCGTGCAACCACCACCCAACTTCTTGTCTGCTCGCACTCGGAGGACCATGGGACCGACGACTCTCCCCTGCCAAAGTTGACTTTCCGCTAACCTCGTCCATCCTTTTGACATGGAGAGTTGCGGAGGCTATGTAGGGGAGAAAACGGGACCCATCTCAGGGGGGCGGGAGACGGTGGTCGTCTGGCATAGCGCACCACAATTCGCTACCATGATTGCTCAATTCCGGGAAGTCGGCCGCTAGCTTGGCCTACCGGGTTGCTCTATGTCTTGGTCCATCGTCTCGGAATGACAAAAGACAGGCGCGCGTATTACAAAGCAAGCACAGTTTCCTGTCCCCGCCGACTCATCCGGCCGAGTCAGGTTGAGCGACTCCGTAGGCCAGAGCGTCGATCTCGATACCATTGATCGACGTATAGGGCGTAGTTCGACAGACGCCTACATAAGTCTAGGTACATGCATTGTCTAAGAGCATAGTGTCGTAGTTGGCGTAGTTGGGCGACTTTGGTGCCGGCAAGACAAAGGAAAGGGGTCGCGCCTGGAGACTGGACTGGCGCGACCCGACGACTGCCGTCTCTAGCATCTATCTCGTCGAGCTTGTCTAGGAGATTGGTTTTGTGGGCAAAATTCGTTGAGCATTTTGCCAGCCTGGCAAGCTGCTTTAAGATACCTTCTCCCTCCACAGACGCCGTCCTATACGCAGACGTCGTACCTATGGCCAGGTACCTGGATCTCGAGTCGATTGTGGCATAACTCCATGTGGCTGGCTGCAAAAATGACGTCTAATTGTTGGTCCTAACAAACTACTACAGTCTAGATCATCTGGAAGAAATTCAGTGACTCTCATGTAGGTGATCGGGTCCTCAGACAAAGGAAAGCCGACTTAGCCACTGTATTGGGCCGACGCCGGAGAAACATCGCAAATCCCATTCCTAACCAGCTCCGGCTCCGCTTCGGCTCCGTGAGCTCCCAAACGCCTATATCCTGTACCAATCCCGTCACTCGTGCGTGTACGACCCAATTCGGTGCAAGTGGGTAGCGAATGATATTTGTACATGACCGTCTAATATAAATGTCGCAAATAATGACAGACCGTCGAATACAGCTAATCGACAGACGCTGGAAAAGTGTGATATCATGAAGTAATTGACCGACTCCATCGCATGGGAGGGTTGATTCTCCCAGTAACACAACGCCAAATAAGGTAGGAATAATCATTACAACAATGGTATTGCCTGCAGCCAGCCTGAGACCTTTGAATCAACACGCAAGCGTTCCATTCGCTCTCGTGAGGCTGTATTTTGTGCAAAGTTGCCGTTTTATGGTGGATCCTCAAGAGTCCGAGGCCGAAGAGACTGAAAATTGTTCAGAGTCGCTACTGAATCCAGCGTCGTGGTCGACTTCGGAGTCGCTCATGCTGCCGTAGCCGGTGTCGGTGTCAATATCCATCCCGACCATGCCACGGGTGACGGCTAAGCATCGTTCCACCATCTCCTGCTTCACTTCAGAATCCAGCCAGCTGTCCTTGCCTATCCATATCCGCAGATTACCTGAGAGCTTCTCAAGAGCACGGCTGCAGGTCTCCGCGGCGATTTCGTGGCCAGCAAGACGGTTCATCAAGGTGAAGGCAGCAGTGTAGCCGAGTAACGACAATTCATTTGTCACGTCAATCTCATTCTCGATAATGGGATAGACGCTAGTGGGCTCTTCAGGCGGTGCGTATCGTTGCAGATGGGCAATTGCCTTGGCGCATTGAAGAGACATATATACCTCGGCCTGTGATGATATGGAGTCGGGAATGTCGATATTAGGAGTATCAGGTGCCGTCTCTTCGTCGTCGTGGCCACCACAGCAGTCCTGAGATGCGGTGTAAGGGCCGATAGCCTGGATGACGGCTGCAATATTGGCACCGCGCTTCTCGTTGAAGAGGACAGCGCGAGCTACGAGGGCACGATTTTGTGCGATTGAGCCGACTGGAGCAACTCTCAGGGCTAGCATGATACCGTCTTCAACATTTTGTGTGATCTCGCCATCTTCGTCATCTCTGACCAAGAGGCTGTTCGTGAGGGCGCTCTGAAGAGTCAAGGTCGACCACCAAGCTGCCACAGCATCCATCGGAGAACGAATAGCGGTATCCTCAACCACCGCGTCCATGCCATCGGTGACACCAATAGCATCAAGGTCGGTGGGTCGGTTCCACGCCAGATTGTGAGCGCGTTGGACAACACTCTGGTTGAATACCTCATCAGCGTCTTGCTCGAGTAGTATGGTGAGGTGGTCAGGCAGATCGTCCTCATATTGCTCATTGCCTCCGCGGCGCAACTGCTTTGATAGGCGGTGGAGATCTCGAGCCTCGTTCCATTTAGATCGTGCCATCTTTGAGGCTATCGTATTAAAAATGCCGAGCTGCACACCCGTCAAGCCTACTTCCCACAGCAGGATACGAATATGAAGTGCCTTGAGCATGAGTCGCAGGGGCGTGTCAGGCAAAGTGCCAGACGCAACAAGAGTGAGTGTCAGACGGCTCTTGTTGATCTCCACATCACCGCCAGCCAACTGTGCGTCAAGAGCAATAGACCAGGCCTTGACACGAGCGGCTTCCTGCTCTTCCGAAAGGCCAGTCAACATCTGATATCCGCTGACGCCAATGAGGTTTCGCAGACTAAGCTTCATTGTTTTTAGGCCGAGTGCTGCAGCCTCAAGGAAGAAGTTGTGGCGAGGGATCCAGACATTTTGGATAGCGGTGAGCCAGGCTTGCCGACGAACATGAATTGGCGATGCTGGAGAAGGAGCGGCTCCAAGAGAGCTTGGACCTTGGGTGGAAGTTTTCGGCTTTGGGGGGCTTTTCCTGAATAGCGATGGAATGATTGCCCACCAAAGACAACAAAGCACCAATACATACTTGAGAGAAGTAAGAATCTCCCCGGCATCTAGATGGTAGCCCATGAAATCGATGTTCAAGGATGAAATGAGTGAGCCGAGCAGGTTGAATGGCAATGAAGAAAGTCCGCGGGCAGTGCTTCTGTCGTCGCTCTTTTCATTCTCGCGAACAGCCTCAAGTATCATCAACCCAGCCAGCGAGCCTACCATAAGCTTGCCAAAGTAGGGAGCAGTATTTTGCCACGCTCCAGCTTGCATCTGCTGCTGCTGTTGATGGATTTGTTGCTGCCTCACCATGGCTGGGTCGGGTCTCCGGAATGGCTGTTGGGGAACTGGATACGGCTGTCCCACAGCCATTTGAGCGGCAAGAATGCGCTTCATATCTTCGGGAACAGTCATCATGCCCTGAGGTTCCGCATGAGGGCCCGAGGTCGTGGGCATGGGTGGTGAACGGTTCATTCTCACCGCATCACGTGGATACTGGCCCGGAGTAGGTGCCTGCTGGATTGGGCTGATGGCACCGTTCATAGCGCCGGACAAGAATAATTTCTCGAACGCGGCGATTCGCTGTTGCATGGCACTGTTTTCATCTGCCAAGCGAACGTTGCGCTTCTCCAGATGGCGGATATACTCGGTTGCCTTGCTTAGCACCTACATTATGGAGTTAGTTGCATGCTTGTACTCAATGCGACATGATGCGACGGCTTTTGAAAGGAAAACTCACAGTGGCCTTGTTCAACTTGTGGGCAGGAGTCAAACCGTGTAGTTCTTCCCTGTCGGCTGTGGTATCTTCGCCACGGGAGCTTTTTGACATGATGCGCAAGCTTGGTACGCTGTCACGAAGAGCAGCTATCTTGTCATTCAAGTTGGTACGATACCGCTTTTCGATCATGTTATGGGCTGTCTTCTTCACGGGATGTGGACCATCCAAATCGTCGTCGTCTTCGTCGTCGTCCTCGACTGATGACTTGCGCTTACGGCAATTGGATTTAGAGCCTCCGTCACTAGGTGACATGGAAGCCGACTTGGAAGCCGACTCGGGACTGGGCTCGCTCTTGGGAGACTGATACTGCAAGTGAGCGGGCATGGCAATGCTTTGGAGTTTCCGTCTTTGCGACTCGGTCAAGGTGTTCATGGCCATTGCAGGGACAGCTGGCTGAGTCTGTAAAGGATAAGGCAGTCCATTGACGTCCGGCGGTAGGAAGTCGCTCGTCGACGGTGGTGTGATGGACGCTTGTGACGGCTGCTCCTTGATGGACAGCTCGTTTGATTCTGGCTGCTGCTGCTGCTGAGGCTGCTGGATCTGCTTCCAGTCCTCTGAGAAGAGGGGAGTCGAGTCGTAGGTGAAGGATGGCGAGTCGTTGTACGGATTAAAGTCCCAGGAAGGATCAGTGAAGGGTTCGCCCTCCGTCACTGGGACGTAGGTGTTATTGCCATCAAAGTAAGAAGCCATGCTGGAACTGGCGTTGGGACCATGAAATGCGAGAGTGGCCCGACACCACTCAGCGCAGCCTAGGGTGTGGTGCGTTCCCCCAGGCAGGGCAACGCTCGTGTGTGGTTTACTGACTGAGTGCAAAAGGGCGGGAACCAGGAGTGCTGTACCAGGCGTGGGCACAGGGTGGGCTGATGATCAGGCCAGGACGACGGAGATAAATCAATGGGCTGCCGTCTGGGGGGTCGTCAATAGCACGGTGGGAGTCGCAATTAGAGGGGAAAGCAGAGAATGGCCGGTAGACGGGATGATGTTAGCAGAAATGAGGAAAAACCGGGGGACGGCGAAGTGGAAGACTTGAACTACTATTATGAATAGTGGTGGTTTGGTTCTGAGGGGGGAAGAGAGAGAGAGCGAGTGAGCGAAACGAAGCGCGGGATAGACTCGGTGATTCCTCTTGCCGCAGGTCCTTCTCCCACGGTGGTACAGAGTGTTTCAGCTTTTTTTTTTCTCTCTCTCTTACGGACAATTACTCTGCTGCTTTGGTACTGAGACTTCGATTGTGCTGCTAACGATGCGCTGCTGCTGCTATGCGGGTTGGGACAAGAGCAGACTGGAATTGGGGAGAGGAACAAGAAACATGCAACTCACTTTGCTGGGCCAGCCAGTCATAGCCAGTTTGCGCGGGCCGTACGATGCGACTCCAGCGGGAAGGAGGCGTCGAGGACATCGTTCGATTTTCGAGGCGCTAAGACTAAGCGGCCCCTCAGATTTGGTCGATCCACGGCCAGAACCTTGCTTGCTTAGGACCATTGACAGCGCGTTAGCGCGCTACTTGGACTTCTGGTATCTCGTGCTAGGGTGAACCAAGTTACCAAGCCCAAGAAAACCGTTAAATCGCTAGAATCTCATCTGCCTTTCTGCGCATCTCAACCCCCCGGAAGAACCCGAGCCTCAGGTACCCTTTCATCTCTGCCCGGCCGCCAAGCCAAACACCAAAGAGCCTTGAACGATGTCCGTCCACCCCATCAGCCAAGCAGAAGACAAGGAGAGAACCAAGAGGGCTGATGATGGTGGGGCCCTTTTTTTTTTTCACCTGGCCCTTTGGACGACAACCGTCACACCCGGTTTTCTATCGATGGCTTGATCATAATGGCACGATTCCCCTTAGCTGAGGCGTAAAATGAACCGTGACAGTTAATAAAAAAGACGCTGGGATGTTCGTAGTCCTTCTTTCTCATGCTCACATAATTGCTTTTTTTTTTTTCCTTCGTCCTTCTCCCCCCCCCCTCCCCTCCAAAAGAAAGCGACCTTGGCTACTCCGACTGAACGAACACACGGTAGTGCTGCCCAGATCGATTGGGTTATTGAGGAATGTGAGACTTTATTAGCGGTCCCCACATGCAGCATCCCCGATTCGTGGTTTCTGCTGCACGCTCTGAGCCTATGCATCATGTATGGATTCTCCCATGCACATATTTCAGTTTTTCTTGAGAACAGTGGTTGCAGAAACACCCTAGGTACTTATCGATGGGCATGTCGCACAAGACGTGTGTGGAAGTATAGAGCACAAGTGCACGTTCATCTCTGAATCAGAAAACTTACAAGCCACCACAAGAAATATATTATATATAGGATCTGCCACATGTGCAGTCCACACATTATTATCATCGTATCCTGTTCCTATTCTAAGGAAAACAATTCGTCCCAAAAGTCTAGACGGCCATTTGAACTCGCAGTGCTCCCTTGTCTTTGGAAAACGCCGGCCTCGGCTGTCCTTCTGCCCCCTTCCCCTTTCGTGCACCTTCTCGTCTTCCCACAGTTATTAATACAAACATACATCGCTGACCCTTTGGTACACAAGCATCGTTTCGCATATCGTGTTGTTGCTTGCTATGCCTTGCTCCCGAGAATCTGAAATGCTCGGGACATCTGTCAAAGAAACACGTATTCCAATGGTGATTGCATTGTCCCATGCTGCTGCTCGCCCCTTTTTTGCATTACCTGATCTCCATCTCAAAATCTTGGATTAGCATGAGCTCATAGCCGTAGCTCCTTGAGAATCTGATCCGCCATGTTCTTGAATTGCCACGTGTTGCCTTCCATACGCTTGAATTGCAATCCGTGAAGAGATAACAAAGGCACTTTGACAATGAAGATCTCAAAGTCTAATGTCATGCTGCCGCCCAGATCACTCTGCACCTGAGTTGTTGTTTCTCCAGGCACCCTTCGAGAGGAACCGCCGGCGTCGCGAACGCTGCCATTCTCCGAGAGTTCCGAGTTGGAAGCACTCCGGTCAGTCTGGTGGCCTTTACCAGGTGTCCGCGGTGTCCCGGGGACTCTATCCATCTCTCGTAGCTCATCCCGATCCTTTTCGTTGCGGAGACCAAAGCTAAACCTCCGTCTATGACCCGGTGTGGCCACAGGGCTACCGGGGCCGTCTGTTACCTTGTGCAGATCAATGCTCGGCCTGTGGCGGCAGCTGAATCCGCCTCGAATTTCCGTGTAGTCCACTCCAAGTTGTTTCAGTACTCGCTTGACATCTGCGCGGATTTGCGGTACAGATTTCGTCGAAGTCGTAGAAACACTGAAGAGACCTTTGAGAAAGACCGGCTTCGCCAGCTCAGAGTCGTCGAGTCGTTCTGCCGAGGCGCCACTTGCCTCGCCCAATTCCGCATCCGTTTCCTCGGGTACATCAGCCGCGCGGGCGCCCTCTCTCTTGAGTCGTCTTGCTTGAATGCTCTCCCTACGAGCATGACCCAGAGATTTGGCCCTCATCGACGCTGCGCGGGTGTTGAGGGACTCCTTCTGTTGCTCTCCTCCTGACTTTTCAGTGCCTGAATGGTCCGAGCCGCTTGTTGGGGGCGGGTCCTTGGCGACTCGACTGGCTGAATTGTACTGGCGTCTTCTGTAATCCGCCGAGTTGACACTGGTCGACCGTCCGAGCCCTTTCTTACTTGAGCTGCTATCACCGGCCGCCAAGGGCAAGCTCAGAAGATCTCGGTGCTGAGGCTGGCTGCTGCCAGAACGCAAGCGAGCACCATCAGTCTCGTCTCGATCGCGCCTCGATCTCCTGATGCTAAAGCTCTTCCGTGGTGCGACGGTATGCTCGGGTGAATGAACGTGGACCACTGGTGGGTGCGATCGATCCTTTTCTACTCTCTCTGGTTCCTTGCGACGTCGGGTGCTAAAGCGCCGAAGCAGACCAGCCGCCGCGCTTTCTTTCTTATGAGGTACCTCCAGTTGTCCCTCGGGTGCCTTGGGAGCTGGTGGCGACACCTGCGCCTTCTTGACTTCTTCGGGTGCATCGTCTTCTCCGTGCGTTCGTGCCCTAGGACGAGACCGCCCACCAGTAGGCTTCTCTCCCGGCATCTCGTAAGCGGCAGTATTGGTGTGCGCCTCTTGTGGTGGTGCAATCTCTGGCATTGGCGTGTCGGCAGCATTCTTGGGCGCGTGATGCTTGGGCTGAATATCAACCGAGTCTCTACCCTGCTTCTCCCTAACTAGGTAGTAGATTGAAATAAGAGGACTGAAGGCATTCAGGGGATCGCTACCCAGCGCAAGAGCTTCTGAACTGGGGGCTGTGAGGTTGTCACGGCTGTTAGCCGAGTTCCTTCTCTTGTAAAAGTCGAATCCAAAGCCTCTCTTCTTTTCAACATCCCTCATTGGTGCAGGTATGTCCTTTTCCTTTTGCCACAAGGCGACCGCTCTCTTGTAGTCATCAGACTCTATGAGTCTGGTCAATTGCGCCTTGATGACTTCAGGTGGTCCAAAGTTGAAGCCTGTCATGGCATTGATGACTTCTTGGTCGAGGGGCAGTGTTAGTGGTTCTCGTGCAGGCAAATGGTTCTCTGGGGGGCCACCATAGCCTTTCGTCATCCATGGATGGTTCAATACTTCGTGCATGGTGGCACGCGCCTTTGGATCTGTAACGAGCATTCGAGAGAGGAGATGTCGACATTCTGGAATGTTGTTAGTTTATTGTTATAGTCGACTATCACAAAGATTGCAGCAAAATCTTACCGGTGCTGAGCCAGCTGGGATAGTCGACCAGTCCCTTCTTGATCTTTGCATGCAGGGCCGGCATGCTCTGATCATCGAACGGAACTTTACCGCAGACTAAGACGTAAAGCACGATACCGAAACTCCAAACGTCCACCTCTGGGCCGGTGTAGGCGCGAGCTTGAAGCAACTCAGGAGCGGCAAAGTAAAGACTGCCACAGAAGGTTTTCAAGTGGCCTCGCGGGGCGAACAGGTTACTGAGACCAAAGTCGATGATTTTGATGTCTCCAGTCTTGGCGATCAGTATGTTCTCGATCTTCAGATCACGGTGCACAATACTGTTCCGGTGGCAGTAGTCCAAGGCGCTCGCGATCTGCCGGCTGAATTTCCTTGCTTGCTTGTCTTTTAGTTTGCCATGCGAGATGATATAATCTAGCATCTGGCCGCCGTTTACATATTCGAAGAGCATGTACCAGTGATGGTTTGTGCGCACCACGTCACGAAGCCCACAAACATTGGGATGATCGAGCAATGTGACAATTGCAGCCTCTCGAGCTGTGCGGATCTCTTTGGACTGGTCTGCTCGTTCTTTGTCTGCACGGCTGTGATGATTCTCCTCCGTAGAACCTCGAGGTATGATCTTGCAGGCCACCTAGAGAAGTCAAGAGTTTTAGTGAGGGGAAGACGGACAATGGTAAAGCCAGCACATTGAGGGGGGTTGACTGACCTGTTCTGTGCCATCCTCTTTCTTGGCGAGTTTGACTTTGCCCATACTACCAGCACCAATCGTCTTGCCCAAGATCCATTTTCCTGATTGAGTTGGAATCAACGTCCGCGTCGTCCTCGTCTTCGCGCCCGTGGCGCGGGCGTCTGCTGCGGCTTGCATCACGGGCGGCACTGCTTCAGGTCCCGGATTGTTTGCATTGGCAACAATAGTGGGATCAGCTCGGTTGCTGGATCGGCGATGGAGACCTTTGGGGTCGGCGGCGGCGGCGGCGGCGGTAGCCCCTCGCGACGTGGACGGGCCGTGACGGTCTCTACTTGAACTTCGCTTTGAGGCTAAGTTGCTCGCCTCATAGTCTCGCTGCGGGAGAATGTCCTGCACGGGGCGGCTCGATGTCGAGGACTGACGGGAATGGCCGTGGTGAGCAGAATGCGAGACAGAGCGGTGGGGAGTGCCTGCTGCGCTCGCCGATGTGTTGGGGCGGGACCGCGTCGAGTGCGATCGCGAAGGTTGGCCGTGAGTAGCAGAGGTGGTGTGGTGCGAATGGCTCCCCTGATGGTGAGAGTGGTGATAGTCGGAAGTTGCAGGTGTCGACATTGTGGCAGCGAGCAAGGACCAGTCCCAAACTCAAATGGCAGTTCCAAGAGAGCCCCAGGGTGGGTGGAATTGCTTGACTTGACGTGGAGTAACTACTCCTTGGTGCCTCTTTTACTGGTTGCGAGACACTGTTGTAGCGGATACTGGTGGTAATTGATACACTGGAGTCACCGCCAAACAAGAAGATCCCGGGTGGGCACTGGCGCTGGCGCTGGGGAGGTAGCAGGCAGGTACAGTACCAAGCAGGTCTGGTGGTCGGGCACAAATTCTAGAATGTGTTGACGCGAGCTGCTGCCCATGGAATAAATCAATAGCAAGAAACAAATATCAATCGCCGAGGCGCTGCTGTTGCATGTGGTGTGAGGCAGAAGAAAAGCCTCTGGGTTTCCTTGCCTCCAAACAAACTTGATGAGATTCGATCAAATCGCGCCCGTTCAAGTCAAGTAAGTCAGTTTGGTCGGTTGGTCGGTTGGTCGGTTTGCCTTTGTTGCGCCGCCTGCAGAGAGTACAGGTAGATACTGCGCTAAGTTGGATAGTAGACAGACTACCCAGTTCCTAACGTAGGCAAGGGGGGCCACCAATTACAGCAGCGCAAGCTCACTGTCGGGTTTCCTCAATGCGAGAGGGTCGAGACCAAGACTGTCCGCCGCACTTCTCAAAATTTGGGGGTAAGCTCGACGGCCCTGCCCCTTAAAAATCCACCTAATCTAGCGGCTAGGCTGGGTAGTCGGAATTGCGAGTTCCAATCGAGGCCAAGTTGCCAGTGCAACGGTTTGATCGTAGTGCAGTATGGTCCGGTAAAAGCGCACCTCCACGTGCTGTGTAGTAGTCAGATCCGGTCTTTTTTTCTTGATGCACTAATCAGTCGCACATATTAATGAACGTTGTTGTGTTGAGGGGGACGGAACCGTTGCGATGTTGCTACGATCGTTTCCTCTGGCCTGATGTGAGTGAGTGACGAACGCCGTGGCTTGCCACTGCATGGGGATCCAATGCGTGTTTCAAGGTTCCGTCGATACAAAGTATTCTGTACCGCGGGGTAGTGCACTAGGTACGTATTCTGTAGTGTGCTTTGATCCGCAATATTCTCGGAGATCAAGTTGGGTCTTGGAGGTTTGAGATGAAATCACACGAGAAGGGAGAAAAAGAACATTACAAAATTTTCTCCCTTTCTTCTTCTTACTGCTCGAAATGTTATCACAGTAGGTAGCCAATGTTTCCTCTGTCCGCCGGTCGACCAATGAAGGGGCGCACCTCTGCGTTAGCTTCCTTGTTGCAGCGGGAGGTCGAAGTTCACGAGGTTGCGACGAGGTTGGGCGTCGGCTGGGGCTCAAAGGCCGCAAACAGGAAATATGACGTTTTGCGGATTACCTAGAACAGTTGAGGCCCCACTACAGCCGTTAGGGACGGTGAGAGTGTACATGAAGCAGCTCCAGTGTCAAATTATGAGTGCAAGGCTGCTTTTTTCCCCCCCCCTTCTCCTACGAAAAATGGATGACTGGGTAGCAATAGCAAATAAATGTTGAGACAACAGTGATTACAATTATCACCACAGCAAAGTTGCACAACCAGATGCAAGGATAAGATTCTTTTCAAATACGCAAGTTGCACAAAATCAGCGACTTTCGAGTTACACGAGGGCCTGCAATTTCATGATGCCCAAGATGGGTGGCCCCCTGGTAATTTGGGTGGAGGTCCTATGACGACGCTACCTGGCAAGTGACAGTTCATTCTTCTGAGCCGAAGCACATGCAGTGACTTGTCTGTCGTCAATGCGATAGCAGAAGAGAAGATGAGAGAATTAATTCCAAGACACTGACGAGTAAAGGATGTTTCAATATCATGGGCATCTTTAGCGTATGTTCATTTCCTTAAAAAAAAATCGCTTTGGATCGACGCGTGGGCATTTTGACAGGTCGCAAATTACTGGATACATTTGACTCTCGGATGACTTGACCGATCTAAAGTAGTACCTACGTACCTTTACCTGCTCTTGCTGGCATGGAAAATACGTAGAACAATAAGAGTGGTTCCAGCACTATGGACCTGGGTCATGTTTGGCGAATGGAGACACCCAAAGGGGGGAAAGGGCCCGCAAACGTCAATCGCTCGTCTCATACCATGGTAGGTCGGATTGTGCTGACCTTTACAGCTTCTCGAATTGGATCATGTGACCTTTTCAGGTTCCAATTAATACTATATATATTTTAATTGTAGACTCCAAAGAGAGGCTCCGTTACATTTGTCATGTACTACTAGCTCCGGTAATGGCGACAAGGCACCTCCTGAGGGAACGGCGGTCTAAGTCACCGGGTACGCTGCATTTGAGTTGCTCCTTACAGATACAGTAGATATTCATTTTGGGTATATCGAGAACGGGTCAATCAATCTTCATCATCGCTACTATCGCCAAAAATGGCTTTCAAGACATCATCTTGTGCTCGGTTACCCTCCACGGCCTCGTTTACACTGGAATCTATTTCGACCTTTGTGGCCGTTGAAGCAGGTTTCACCAGTTCGGCAGTGTCTTCTGTCACCTTGAGAGCAAGCGGCGCATCCAAGGAATTGGCTTGAGCCTGCTGTAGCAAATCATCCAGAGTCATGGCCACACTGCCACGGCCATTCGAGGGAGCTGGCATATTCCAGGCGCTTGCAGTATTCTTTGAAGCAGAATCAGGTTCGGCGTCAGGCTGGACATGAACCGGCGCGGGCACATTGAACCTTTTGCACAGCAGCCTAGTAGGATAAAAGTCCGTCGTTGATCTTGTCATGGTGCCGTACATTCCCATCTTTGCGGCTTCTTCAGCTGGATCGGTAGGTTTGGGCGCCGGTTTTGATACAAGCTCATCACTGTCTCCAGAGTTGCCACCAATGAACTTTGACGATGAAGAAGTTGTGAATCTAGATGCCATCATTCCGGTCATTGGGCGGAAGATCATGGCACAGCTATGGAACTCACGTAGCTCTCTCAACCAATCTTGGCTGCTTTGTGACGCCAATTTGCTGGGAAGAGAGGCCTTGGAAAAGCCTGCCGAGTACTCAAGATACGTTCGATATCGAGTACGCTTGGCCTCGTCGTCTGCATAGGGGGCGGTTCCACTAGCGCCGCGGGTGATGGCAGCTATGGCGGTCTCCTTTTCCAGCTTCGGAACTTGGGCCAGTAATTCGCGTTGCTTTTCTTCGGGCGTCAAAGCATATCCAGCCGGAATTTCTCCTAGGGCTTGTGGAAGGTTTTCTTTTCCTGTAGCAACCGCAATTCGACTTCTCGCTTCCGGGTTCAGGAAATCAAAGACGGACTTTCCAGGTAACTGAGACTCTCCAAGAAGAGCAGCTCGTGATTTGGGATCGAGTTGGGAGGCCTTGGCAGCATCGGCAGTGGACGTGTAAGCCGAGTTGCTCGAAGTGCCTCCTTTCAGCTTGCTTGTCTTCCAACCTGGCGGGATTTGCGGTGGAGGATATTTGCCCTGGGAGTTTATTGCCGATGTGAGGTCTTCTGATGCCATACCAAATACGAAGCCCTCCAGAGGAAAACGGCCATCGTGGCATCTTTTCAGGTTCTTCCCTGCTTTCGATAGCACAGTCTTTTTGGAAATGAACACGGGCGCAGAGCGCAAACTTGGGTTTGCGCTCGTTGTATTTGAAGCCTTTTTCTTCTTCTTATCTCCTCCAGTCACCCTGTTGTATGATATTCGGGGACCGACCTCGTATGGATCCTCATCGTCCGAGCCATTGTCGTTAAGGATGCCAATCCCGATTCCTCCTCGGACTGATTTGGGCTTCTTCTTTTTAAAGCTTGGTGGACGTATCAGTGTTCCATACTCCTCCTCTTCGTCTGAGCTTCCTTGATCCTTGGCCTTTGTGTTTGTGGAGACGGGAGTCAGTTTAGACTCGCCGGCGTAGCCTAGACCTTTGCGATCCAGTTTCTTGACGATAGCTATCATCTGGACGTTCTCTGGTGCAAACAGGTGAGTATCGGTGTTGTCCTGATGCTTGCCCCCAATATCAAGACGCGCTTTCCGGCGGACTTTGGGCCCAATGCCTTGGCCTTCCTTCCAGCCCATTCGCCTGAGCAGCTTCACGCCCATGGTGTCGCCCTGGACGCGGAACAGACCTGCCAGTCCACCTTGGTTGGCGCCATCCCGTTGCGTAGAGCCCAGGCCAGCGAAGCCGTCGGCCGTCTGTAGCTTCTCGTTCTCGGCTTTCTCAGCAAGATCTTCCTCGTCCATAAAGTCCTCGGGCCGCTGGGCGCCCTTCTTGTCGTCATCTTTCCAGCGCTTCGTTCGCGAGGACACGAACGTGCTGGGCGTCCATCCCTCCTTGGAGCCGACGGTGTTGAAGTAGCCGGCGCTCCAACCTCCAGTGAAGGCACCATGGAGACGCTTGCGGCCTCGGTCGTCGGTCACCTCCTGCTTCCACACGGGTACGTAGGAGCCATCGTCGCGGACAGACGGGTCAGACGGTGGCAGCGGGGTGCCAAAGAGAACGTAGGGCGATTGCTGGGCTTGCAGGTCTGCTTCGAAGTCCCTGCGCGAGCGTTTGTAGGACATTACTGGGGAGTCGCGGCGTCGTCGTGGTCGTCGTCCAGGCGGTTCTGCAGGGCACAGGGCGGCTGCTTACAGTCGTGTTCGCATGACGTTTTTTTGAAATGGCAATAGTATCAGGCAGCTAGCTGGCCGATAAGAGTGTGTGGAAAGCTGCTTATCGCCAATCAAGGTTCTGTGGATTTGATGCTAAGGTGGGTAAGTCAGGGGTCTGCTACTAGCGAATGTTCGGCTCCGCAACACCCGTGGACCGCCCATAGCGCTACGGCACCTACCTTAATGTACCTATAAATATTCTCTCAATATGTGCTGACTACAGCTATAGCGAGTTGACGTTCCACATTTATGAATATGAATAATGGCATGACCGATCCAGTGAGATCTAGGCATCAGTTTTGATGCTCTACCATGAAAGTCGATCAGAGGGCTCAATCAGTTCTCTGGCGACCTGTCTGGGCAATTAAAATGGGTGGGATCTCTTGATAGCGGGAAGACAGACATATTAGTTCATGTCGGGCATATGACTTCTTCGGTTATTATCGAATACCTGGGAGATAACCAGTTGCAGAACAGCAGGGTGATCAACTCAAAGCTTGAGAAACCAGTCAGGCCCATGTGAGAAATCTATCAACAATAGGTACCTGGGGAAGATTGCGGTTTTATCTTGGTCGCGACTTCAACCGGTTTCGGCCATCTTCCTAATAGCTAATGATTGCTTGTGCCTTTTCTTATAGGAAGTTTATAAGCGGTCTATGGATCTCGAGACCAGCATGGACAACAAGTCATCAAAGGCCCACAATCTCACCGCCATAGCTTGGTCCTGCTGTTGCATAGCCAGAGGTCAGTTCATTTCCAAGGACGTCGCAGGACTCATGGACGAATATCTATTCTCAAGGGTGCCCCTGGCCGTGTAGTGTTCTACATACGTAGTACGTACCATCAACAGCGACATTTATCTCAATATCCCCCTTCCCCCAGGTTGGATTAGAACGCGGTTATCAATAGATTGCGTAGCACTTATTTTGCCAAGCACTCAATGTACTATATCTCAGCTCTGATATCTTGATGGATACCCCTTAGCTGGCGGGTCCTTTGCCGTCTGAAGGCCACCAATCGTAGTAACTCGAGGCCAAGCTGGAGATCGGGTATAGGGCGCGATAGGGGTTAGCTCACTGTGCCTGCATCCATACTATTGCCCGTCCACAAAGCGCCCAACACAACCTTGAATCGACATGTGCCTAATCTTGATCATAGCAAGCACTTCGGGGTTTGTAGTTATCTGCTATCTTTCCTTTTTCTCTCCTTGGTGACAGGGGACAAAAATTACCGCTTTACTACCACGATAACCCCCAGCTCTCAAGTCTTGGTGTGGTCCTCGAGAGTCGACTTTGTGATATCATTGCTTGGACCCAGGAAATTTGACTTTGCACGCGCTCGGTATATGATTTGTCGCGTGCGAAATGAGAAGGTGGCTTGGCCACACATAGAAAGCAAGACACGCACGGCGAATGACCGTCCAAGGTGTCCCCCGCATTTCGCTTCCGGGCAGAGCAGAACGAGCAAATGACAAAAAAGAGATACATAAACCTATCCCCATCTCTGATCCGGCCTTGGCCCGCTTCTTCAATGACATAGTCGTCCCGTACTGCGATGCAACCCTCAGCTCGATCAGTGATTAGCCATTCCTACCCCCTCCCACCCCCTGGGTTGGCATCCGCCCAGGGGTGCATGTGATGATCGCCCGCCTGAGTATCTTCGTGTTGGCTCAGGTGGGAGCTTTCTTGTCCCATTGCAGGAAATGATGCTGGTCGCGTTGGCAGGCTGTCCGTTCAAATGCCCTGTTTTGGAGGTCCCCAAGCCTGGCTATTGGCGGCCTGATTCCTGCTGCGCGGCCTAGCTCTCTGATGGGATAGCAGCGGTCTGGTGAGAATGGGCATGGCCTGGTGTATGTAGCACAAGCGAGAGTCACCCAAGGAAGGGGCCACACTTGCGATGCATATACTATGTAAGGATATCTTCGCTGCCAGAAGATTAAGCCCATATGACAAACCCCAACCCGCCAACGTTGCACTCAACGGAGAGGGGAAAGCAAATTCGAGCCTTGTCAAGATTCCGTCTGGCTCGTGCAAATCCTACTCTTCCTGGGCAGACGTTGCCTGGAATAAAAAGCTTGACTTGACCTCCCACTGTCGATCCTCGCCGTGCAACTTCACCTAGCCTAATTGATCCCTCACCTGACACGTGAGTGACCTTGAGCGCAATGGCGTCGCGATACTCGCAACTCAACAGCAGCCCAAGGGCTCCGAGGCGATCGCTGTTCATTGCCATTTCGGCAATCTCCTTGTTCATACTGGCAGTATTTGCTGCTTCCAACTTCAACGGCCCCGTCAGATCCAAGTCTTTCAAAATTCCAGAGAATAATCTTCACGAGTCCCTACTCGCCAAGACGCGCGCGACGGGAACAGGAGACAAGTATCTGCTGGGCGTTGGCAAGGCCGACATCACTGGACCTGCTGTCGAGATCAATTTTGCAGGCTATGCCGATACCGCTCAGACAGGTACCGGTATCCGCCAACGCATCTACTCACGGGCTTTCATCATTGGCGATGTGAACAACCCAGACGACCGCTTCGTCTATATTATCCTTGACACCCAGTCTGGTGACACGGCAATCCGATATGGCGTCTTGGAAGGCGTGGCTGCTCTTGGCTCGGAATACTCTGTTTATGGCCAGTCCAATATCGCGCTGACGGGGACGCACTCCCACTCTGGTCCCGGAGCCTGGTTCAACTATCTGCTCCCGCAGATCACCAGTCTGGGATACGATGAGCAGAGTTACCAAGCCATTGTTGATGGAACTGTTCTTTCCATTCAGCGTGCTCATGAGTCTCTCGAAGAGGTATGCCTCGGTCTCTGAAGATGGGGGGAAATAAATTCATGCTGACAAGTCTTACAGGGTTATCTCGATTTTGGTCAGTACACTGTGCTTGGTATCTGACAGACACAAAACGGACTGCTGTATCTAACATATCTATAGGTACTGTTGACATTGATGACGGTAATCTCAGCCGAAGCTTGTACGCCTACATGGCCAACCCAGAGACTGAGAGGGCTCAGTATTCCGACACAGTCGATAAGACGATGACCGTCCTCAAATTCCAGCGTGCCTCTGATAGCAAGAACATTGGTATTCTGACCTGGTTCCCCGTGCATGGTACCTCCATGCTGGGAAACAACACTCACGTGTCTGGAGACAACAAGGGCGTCGCGGCCGTCATGTTTGAGAAGAACATCGCCAGTGACGACAGCGCTGCTGATGACTTTGTGGCTGGCTTCTCGCAGGCCAATGTTGGAGATACTACACCAAATGTCTTGGGTGCTTGGTAAGCATCAGCATACTGTCAACTCTAGTTGGAAATTGGCTAACATGAACAATTTCAGGTGTGACGATGGATCAGGACAGCAATGTAGCTACGAAAACAGCACTTGTGCCGACGGAAAATCGCAGTCTTGTCATGGTCGAGGTCCCCTTTTCCAGAATGTCGATCTAGGCGTCACAAGCTGCTATGACATGGGACGTCGCCAATATGCAGGAGCCCAGTCGGTTTACGTATGAGAGCCTAATTTCCAAACTCGTGCTCTTGCTGACCCATGTTCTTCAGGATTCCTTCTCTTCTTCTGGCACACCCGTTGTAGGAACTTCTGTCAAGTCGTTCCACTTTTACCAAAACATGTCGTACTACCAGTTTCCCCTCGACAATGGCACTGTCGTCCAGAGCTGCCCGGCCGCTCTGGGGTATTCATTTGCTGCAGGAACTTCTGACTGGCCTGGAGCCTTTGACTTTACCCAAGGGGACTCGGGCAGCCCGAGCGCAAACCCCATCTGGGCGATCGTGAGCGGTCTACTGAAGGAGCCTTCTCCAGCGCAGAAGGCTTGTCAGGGCCAGAAGCCGGTTCTGCTGGATGTGGGCGAGCTCGACACGCCTTATGCCTGGAGCCCGAACATTGTTGATGTACAGCTTCTCCGCGTCGGTCAGTTCGTCATCATCGTCAGCCCGAGCGAGGCCACCACCATGGCGGGTAGGCGCTGGAGAAACGCCGTCAAGGAGGCTGCTGCCGACATCATCACGGACACGGAGCCTGTTGTGGTGCTTGGAGGCCCGGCCAACACATATGCTCACTACGTAGCCACAACCGAAGAATACAACATCCAACGGTACGAAGGCGCATCGACTCTCTACGGCCCATATGAGCTCAACGCCTACATCAACCTCACCGTCAGCAACATCCAGTACTTGGCCCCATCGGCCACTTCTTCTCCGCCCCCGGGACCCTCGCCGCCTGACAACCGGGACAACTCGCTGAGCTTCATCACGGGCGTCGTCTTTGACGCGGCGCCAATCGGTTCCTCCTTTGGCGACGTGACGGGCCAGCCGGCTGCCTCGTACGCGCGGGGCGCCGTTGTCAACGCGACCTTTGTGGGCGCCAACCCGCGCAACAACCTGCGGCTCGAGGGCACGTACGCAGCAGTCGAGCGGCTGGACAATGGTGATACTTGGACCCAGGTCCGCGACGACAGTGACTGGTCCCTCGTCTACACCTGGACTCGGACCAACACCATACTCGCCTACAGCGACGTCACCATCAGCTGGGAGACGGAGACTGATGCCGACGCCGGCACATACCGCATCAAGTACTATGGCGACTGGAAGAACCTCATCGGGGGAGGGATCACGGCGTTCGAGGGCGCGAGCGACACTTTCACGCTGACTTGAGCCACTTGTTGTCTCATTTATATGTACGAGTCTTGACCTGCGGATAAAGGTCTGACGGGTCTGATCCCGGTAAACTCTCAGGAATTGTATATATCGTAGTATGAATGTCAATGTCTTTTGTTCCATTCACCCTACACTCTTCCCATTCGGTGTTTTTGAGTGTATCTTGGAGTGTGGCGCTCAAGGACTGAAGTTTTCACGTTGCCGACGGCGCCGGAGCGACATCCCTGCTATGTAAAAGGAAACTGTCGGTCTCTTCAAGATGTTGGAGCGCACTTTCATGCTATCTCAAGTAGTCTTGAATGAAATGGGATCCTGGTGAGTAGCACCTTAGGAATCCAATTCAGAACTTCCGGCCTGTCCCCACCCGAGAGCCACCCGGAGCCCCTCGCAATCCCAGAGCTCCACGGCCGAATCCCTGCCGCTTCCATATTCGAAACGCAGCGACGTCTTTCATTGGCGGAACGACCTAGGAATATGTCCATTGCAGCAATGTAGAACAGACATGACTGACGTGTTGCTTCGCACCTTTTCTGGCCCCTTACCAATCAACGTTTACTAAAGTTGCGCAACCGAATATAGATTGGTATATAGTCACTGCCGCCGCCGCCTCTACCAAGAAGCTCAATATGTTGGTACTCTTCTTTAAATTTCGCAGAACCACTGGTGGTTACATCTTCAAATATTAGTCTTTCTTTTCTCGGCCGTTCCAAATTATTCTGCAATGGTGCAGCTCAACAAGCAGCTGGCCCTGGCGGCAGCCTTCGGTCTTGCCTGCGCGGCTGAAACGAAATACATGGTCGTTTTCGGTGATTCGTATTCGTCTACTGGCTTCTGGATAACCTCGGGGTATCCGTCCGCAAGCAATCCCATGGGAAATGGCGGCTCGACGACGTCGGGCGGCCTCAACTGGGCGGGCATGGTAACAGAGGAGTACAACACGACATTGCTGCTTACGTACGACTTTGCCGTCTACGGTGCAACTGTCGACACATCTCTGGTTCGTGGCTCAACGCCCGATGTCCAGGACCAAGTAGGGTACTTTGATCAGTACCTGGCTGATAAACCCGACTACGCGCCCTGGACGTCTGACGACCTGCTGGCGGCTGTGTGGATTGGCATCAATGACGTTGGCAACCCTTGGTGGGACGGAACGGCGTCGCCCATTGATTCCATCATGGACGAGTACTTTGACCTCTTGCAGGATCTGGCTGATAAGGGCGTCACTAATTTTGCGCTCTTGACCGTTCCGCCATTCAACAACGCACCAAGCTTCCTCTATTCGAGCGAATCCTCCCTGGCGAACCTGGTATCCAACATCACTGCATACAATGATGCTCTCGAAGCTCGCCTGGAGACATTCAAAACTGCCAACAGCGCCATCACGGCCCAGGTAATCGCCACCGAGGCTTCCTTTGAGGCCGTCTTGAGCGACCCTACCGCATACGGCGCTACCGACGCTACGTGTTCCAACACTGACGGCACGACTTGTGTTTGGTATGACGGGTACCACGCTGGGCAGGCTATTCACCGTCTCGTCGCTCAAGCATTCGTGGAAGCTTTGACGGGAACGTTTTTCTAAAATAACAGATTGCCTTCATGTTTCATTGTACATACTTCTGGCACTCGCTTGTGTTCGAGCGTCTCGTAAATATCAATATATCGTCTCGTTATCATTCGCAATATTTCCAATGACCCAATATGTTTGTTGCACACGCTCTTTGCACCCGACGAAAGCTTGGAAGGGCTGGAGAATTCGCGTGACAAGCTGAATGCTGTGCAGAGGGTAGTCGAAGCCCAGTCATTCGGTCGGGGCATTTGGTAGAAGCAAGCAGCTGCGAAGCTAATGTTTTGTCACATTCAAGATCATCACACATTAAATGCCTTGCGGGTCCAAAGGGCCACTTGATTCGGATCGGTGGATGAACATTGGTGCATTCGATTTGAGAATCGAGTGTTGGCTCGTCTGGTATGGGATATGAAGACACTGAAAGCCAATTCGTCAGGTGCCTCCATCTGCCTTGGAAAGGGGAAACGGTTCTCCGTAGCATCAAGCCTTCTGAAAGCCAGGGGCGAAAAAAATATTATTCGAGATTTTTCTTTTTGTTAATAATTCGAACTCGTGGCTTTCAGGTTTGAAGAGGTTATCTTTGACTTTCTACCATTCGACCACTGCGTCCTTTGATTGCCCGAAGGCGAGGATAGGCTGTTTATTCAACCTCATATGCTTGGGAGCACATGCCGCATCTCCTTGGCTGAGCAACCACGCGTATGCTGGGGGTGGGGGAGGTCCGACTTATCCTGGTTACCGTAGCGCTTGTCCCAGTGACATCCTCAAGACCTCACTGCACCTTGCAACGCGCATTGGCACGTTGCAGCGGACGTGTCGAACTGGTTGAACATGACATCGATCCAGATTATTGCGCAGGAAATGGTGCCCGGTGTTGATTGAAAGTCGCGAACTCTGCTTTGGCACGCGCACAGACGTACAAGGCCAGGCTTGTCGTAGAGGATCAAACTGCTTCTGGCGGACCAAGAGGCCCCCGGGCGGAAAAGGGAAGGAGGGGAGGCGCGAGGGGAGTTGAACGCTTCAGTCCTTTACCTGCCTGACATTGAGATTGATTCGCTTGTTCTGCATCCAGCCTTTCCAATCCTCGTATTTTCCATCCTCGGCAGGCCACTCAGCCAAGAATTCAGGACACGTTCCTTTCAGAACCTTAGGAACACCGTGCCATGCGTAACGAGACTCCTCGCTCATGTAGATGGCATCGCCAGACTTGAGGCGGAGCAAAAGATAAGGCTTCTCTGACTTGTCGTCGTCAACCGACTTTGAAGTGCGTTCGGCATAGTCGTTGGGTGCAATCATGAACAAGGCATCGCAGCCAATGCTCAGACTGACCAAGCCCTTGTTTGCTTCCTCGCTGACATCTCGATGCATCATCATGGTGTCTCCAGTTTTGTAAAAGTTGACAATGGCCGCTTGGGCCAAAGTCTGGGGAAACAGCGTCTGGAGACAATTGGCGATGTCTGACGGGAATTCCGGAGGCTTTCCGTCCGGATAGACACGGTTGGTCCAGTCATATTGGCCGCCCAGAGTGACCCAGCTAAGTTTCTTCTCCAGGACCTGCTTGATGGATAACGGTTTGTGCACGTTGGGATCCTTGGGAGTGAAGGCGATGGGCGAATCTGGCGAGAGGGAGAAGAAGGAGGCATCACTCGCTTCATCGCCTTCTATGTATGGCAGATCATAATGAAGATGCAGGTTTGTTTTATGCGCGGGATTGCTGAGATCTCGGTGAGCCATGCGGGAGAGTAAAGCCTTCTGGGTACTTGGTGGAACCAGGGAAGGCACAATAAGTAGGCCTGAGCGAAGTGTCAGTGATCTAATGTCCTCTTCATCTGCAGTCGAGTTTGAAATGATCTGAGGAAGAGAGAATACCTGGAAGTAGTGGATGAAAATATACGGGAGCATCCCGCTTGACTTGACTGGAATCCCAGTCGGAACCCTCAATATGTTCAAAAGCAGTAACGAGGTCCTCGGCTTTGATGGCGCCACACTGTCTAAATTCAGCAGCCTTTGAGGGAATATGAATATCATCGATATCTGGATGATTCACGAAAACGCTGTGGTCAGACCGGTAGTAAGATTTCCAGGTGGCTCTCAGCTCATCTGATGGCTGCTCATGAGCGTCCAAGTCGTGCAGATTGGCGACCATTTTTCCTGCGTTTCGATTTACCGCGATTCAATTCCCTCTGTCAAGTTTCTGCCGGGCGCACAAGTGGAAAGTGATTTAATGCAATGTATAAAAGTTGACCTCGACAACTATCCCAGGTATAGCAAAAAGATCTAGAAAATCAAGGCAAAGCAAAAAAGCCCATACATTAATGAAAAGAGATCAGCCAACCAAATGGCGGGGTAAATTTATTCGTTATCGGCGATAAGCTTTGCTTGCATTGGACCCTGCGCCCTGTAAAACCTCGCCAACTCCCTTGGGTAAAGCTGGATCGCATCGCTGAATCAATGCAGGTGCTGACTTTTGTTAGACGCGGTAGGTACATCAAGGTACGTATATTTCCAATCACACACTGCACTCACTGCACTACAAAACACCCCGAGCCCCGGCCAGCCAGCAACCAGGTACCATATGTGGGGTTGACAGGGAGCCATCCAAGCCACGTCTTTGTCGCGACAAAGATTGTTTACTGCCAAACAAACTTGACAACGGACCAGGCCCAGTGAGAGATTAGTAGGACAGCAGAAGGTGATGACTTGCCTGGATGTCATGACCTACATTCCACGAGAACAACAAACCAATGAATTCAAAATACACTACCGGTTTAGGTAGCTTCCCAGACGCGACTCTCTACACGTTTTATTAGGTAGTACTATGCAGACAGAAGACGGACCGGATACAATGGATCGTAGGCGCCTTTGACCCTGCATTTACGCAGCGAGAAAAATACATTACAACATAATAAACATAACACTGTACAAAACAAAACAACCCACGCCCAGAGGACCACATACTATTCCCACTTTATTGCTCTGCCGCTCAGATAGACGTCTCTCGGCGAACCATTGACAGACATTACTTTCCTCCTGACCATCGACTTGAACTCGACCAACGACGTTCAATCCATGGCGGTATCCCTTCTCTAGTCCCGAGTCTGACATCACCCGCACGACAAGAGTCTTCTTCTTCCTCTTCTCTTCTTCTTCTTCGTCCCTCACCGCGTCTTTTTACCCGCTGCCGCCAAGGGTTGGGTTTCTTTGCTTTCACGATCCTTCCTTCGTCGACCCCGGTAACTTTTTTTTTTTTCAACGTGCGTGCCCCTCGTTGCCCGATTCCCACTTCCTCTCAACTCGACCGGAACCACCAGAGCAGACGTCCACCCCACCCTTTCATCCGGTTTTGTTCCCAGTCCCGTCAGTCAGGGTCCACGATCATCTACTACTACTAGTAGTTCACGCCAGGCTTCTGGAATCGTCGCCCCGGCTTGACTTGCTGCAGTAGCATTCAAATCCCCCCGTCCATCGCGCCCATCATTAATTATTACGATTGACCATGGATAACTACCAGAAGCTGGAGAAGATTGGTGAAGGTGAGCAGCATCAGGCTCGGAATCACGCCCGTCGCCTGCGGGTTTTAGCATGCCTACGATTTTCATTCTCGAGACCTTGTGCCATGTTACTGCAGTTATATGCCAACCGACTGTTGCTGCCGTCACTGACCTTCCGTTTTCTCTGCCTAGGTACCTACGGTGTCGTCTACAAGGCCCGAGACCTTGCCAACCATGGAAAGATTGTCGCTCTGAAGAAGATTCGCCTCGAGGCTGAGGACGAGGGTGTACCTAGCACGGCCATTCGAGAGATCTCTCTTCTAAAGGAGATGCGCGACCCCAACATTGTTCGCCTGCTTAACATTGTCCACGCCGACGGACACAAGCTGTACCTCGTCTTCGAATTCCTCGACCTCGACCTAAAGAAGTACATGGAGGCACTGCCCGTGGCCGACGGTGGCCGAGGCAAGGCCTTGCCCGAGGGCTCGGGCGAATCATTGGGCCGCCTGGGCTTGGGAGATGCTATGGTCAAGAAGTTCATGTGGCAACTCTGCTCCGGTATCCGATACTGCCACAGCCACCGTGTTCTACATCGTGACCTGAAGCCCCAGAACCTGCTGATCAACCGCGAGGGTAACCTCAAGCTCGCTGATTTCGGTCTTGCCCGCGCCTTTGGTGTTCCTCTGCGCACATACACCCACGAGGTCGTCACTTTGTGGTACCGTGCCCCTGAGATCCTGCTCGGTGGTCGCCAGTACTCCACTGGTGTCGACATGTGGTCTGTGGGAACCATTTTCGCAGAGATGTGCACCCGAAAGCCTCTATTCCCCGGCGACTCCGAGATTGACCAGATCTTCAAGACTTTCCGCCTCTTGGGAACCCCAACTGAGGAAGTCTGGCCCGGCGTCACCTCTTACCCGGACTTCAAGTCCACATTCCCCAAGTGGAACCGCGACTATTCACAAACGCTGTGCTCGAATTTGGACGAAGACGGCTTGGCCCTGCTTGAGCGCTGTCTCGAGTACGATCCAGCCGGCCGTATTTCCGCCAAGCAGGCCTGTAATCACCCCTACTTCGAAGGCTCTAGGCACGCCTACCCCAACGGTTATTGATCGGAGCATGTCCGGTAGATACAACCTGTGCCTTTTGCTCACAGCAACAAATTCAGCATCCTTTTGTGACTTTCAGGATACTGGACAGGAATGAAAACATAAGTTACGACGCTGCATATTGTCCGCTGCCACTACATATTTCGCGGTCCGGCTCTCCGTCGCCTTATTCTTTCTTTTTTTCACCACGAGCCTTGCTGCTCTGCCGTCTCCCGTCCCCTCCCCCATTGGGGGTCTCACGATGAACCTGTTCTCCTTGCGTAACGAAAATGGTCTTAGAAGGCGTTGGGGGAGGGGATATAATGGCATGTTTGACGAAGGGGAATCATGAAGGCATATTTATACGTGCGACAGGCAGGCAGGAAGGGGCCATTTTCCCCAATTACTGGCAAAGCACCAAGAAAGAGAATGAGATGAAACGTAAAATTGGCTAAACTTGTCTAAAGGAGTCAACACCATGGGCTATCGTGTTCATCAATGCCCCATTATTTGCAAAACAAACAAGAAAAAAGACTCAAGAGAATTAGTTCTGCATTCTGAGACGAGATGCCGAAACAGACAAATATCACAAGCTGGATTCTCTCCCCAAAATTCACCAATGATCAAAAGTCTTGTCATGCGTTGTGGTGTATTCTAGTATCATCTCAAGTAGAGGGGAAAAGAAAAGAAAACCGGGTTTCCCGCCCTTGAACGCGAGCCATATCGGGCGGTAAAAGCACTGAAATATATACATATATCCATACTGTCAGGTTGATGCCCCTTCCCCCCCAATGTACCTGTATAATCCAAGAGACAATGCGACTTTCTCGAAAATATGATCACCTACCCGAGACCTTGAAAGGAAGAATGTTTTCCCACCCGTCCTTAAACAATGCTGCCTGCCACGGTTATGCCCAAAAAAGAAGACGAAGAAAAAGGAAGAAATATCATTAAAAATGGGGTATATACAGCCAACAAACATTCCAATAATCCATGATTCAGTCATCTGCCCATCATATAAAAGCGTCAAACTTCCATGTCCCGGTCGGCCATGAAATTCTGTTGGGATAGCGTGAGATTTTCGCAAATTTCCGCGCTGCTATTGATAATATCCCAAGGTATCAAAAAGCACCAGGATCTCTCCTCTGTTCGCTCGGTTGGACTTGAGAGGCCGGAGCGATCTGCTCAGCCGGATCAGGTCTATGCTGTTCCCTGGAGTCGCCATGCCGTCGCTGCTGCTCCCTCTCCTCCTTGAGCTGATCCTCTGTCATCCTCATGAGATCGTCCTTTCGCCCGATTGAGGGCCAAGTGCGGTTGCCACTCTCAGCGGCCGTTTCGGCCTCGTCAAGCCAGGCCCTCCATTGCGGTGTCGAGGGCGCGGCACCCGAGCGTTCGACCCATGCGGTATGTTTTGTCTCGCGGATGCACCACCACAAGGTGCGAGTGAAGCTCTTGAAGCCTTCTCGAGGATCGTCTTTGTCCGTGATATCATGGGCATTCAAAGCATCCTTTGGTGTTATATCCTGGATATGGTACCTGCTCAAATCCCAAAAGTATTTCTTGGGAAGCAAGCCCATGACCCAATACATGCCGTTCAGACTAATATACGAGCCGCCAATAAATAGTTGCGAGTTCCACTTGCAGTTGCCGAGCAAGATGACGCTGACCATGAGCAGAAAGGTGCCGAAGCCCATGAGAACTTTGTACCACTGACCACCCACGCGATACTCGCATTCCTCAGTGCCGGCATATAGTTCGCGAGCAACATTTTCCGTGCATTTGATGAGCAAAAAGGCGCCCTCCCGGGTACGAATCACCACATCGCCCTTGGGAACCTTGTTCGTGTGACTCCTCCTCATAAGAAGGGGCCGCCACCACGAGGCGGCGCCGGTGATGGAACTCGCGACTGAAATCAAGGCCACTGCCAAAATGGCTGTGCCATCACGATAATGAGCAGCAAATCCAATTATAGCAAAGGTGAGACACATGGAGAAGATGCTGAGAATGTGCACAGGCGACCAAAGCGCAGCCGGCACAGCAGGGCGTTTGGCATTGTTGGCCAAGGTTGGGTTCGCAATGAAACCAGTCATCCGCTGCTTGACCGTCTGTCGTCGTATGATGCCCGGATTGGGGGGTGCCTGAGACTCGACATCTGCTCTGTCATAGCTTGTCGTCGTTGCTGCACCAAAGTCTCCGTTTGATTCACTGCTTGGGCCGCGGGGAAGCCTCCGCATCGCGAAGTCGGACTTGGACGTGTTTGTCCTTCTACCAAAGAACCTGCCGATTCCACGACTGCCTGCCTTCGGCATCTCTATATCGCCGGCTTCATTCTCGTCATTGTGGGTGATTTTCAAAACCTTGAATCCGAATGGGGCGAATTCATCCAGCGGGTGTATAATATTGGCAAAGAACCCTACCGAGTCCAAGGTGACGCCGCTGTAAACACCAGTGATTTTGGCTGCCGTCTCGGGCATTCGAGCGGGCCGTGTCCCCTTCAGCAAAGCTTGTGGAGCAGGAATGATGCGAGGTAAGAGGCACAGCATGCTGGCAGTAATGGCCTGGGCATGATCTGCGATTGAAGACTCGCCAATGACGGCGAGCAACGTCACGACATCCAGACGCCAGCCCAAGGGACCCTCATCGGAAGAGAACCAAAACTCACGGGCCGGAACAGGACCGTTTTCGTCGGACATCTGGGTGTCTGCCGTTGGCCTTGCCCCCGCCGTCGAACTGGTTTAGGTTTCTAAGGACTGTGGGAGAGAAGGTGGATGCATGCGTTGGTCAGTTTCTCTGCCGTGCTGTTGGCTCTCTACTAAGCTTTGACTGTGCTACGATGGCTGCCCCTCTTCACTATGAACAGTATGCAGAGGTAATCGATTAGGTTTGAACGCTCGCTGTGCTGGGTCGAGTCAATTCGAGAGAGCAAAGTGGCGGGCGGCGGTGGCAGTTGGGATAAGGTAACAATGGGCCTTTGGAACAGAACAAGAGCCCGGCTAGAGCGGCAGAAATAGTCTTATAAAACAACAATAATATTGTAGAGGAGTAATTGGCAGAAGAAATCAGTTCAGAAAGAGCAACAGAAACAATAATGAGCTCAGAAGGATTTTCGAGTCAACACGCTGAAGGCAGTTTTATCTTGGTTACATGGCTGGGGGAAAGCAAGATGCAGGACCCCTGGTATATCCTTTTCGCTGCTAGGGTTTAGCTGCCGCCGACTCCAGCGCTAGAGTAGCTTTGGGGCGGGGCCTGAGAGCCGCTAGAAACCTCGATTAGGTCAGGGTCGATCGCTGAGCTCCGCAAAATCCAGCCAGCCCCAGAGTTTGTTCTGCCATCAGCCGCTGGGCTTTGGGCACATCCATGGTAAGGATCATTGCTGTTGCGCCCGCGAGTACACGCGTTGGCTGCTGCTTCTTCCATGTTGGTTGGCACTTTAGGTGATCCCTACGTAGCGGCCTCTTTGTTCTGCCGTAGTAGGACGGAAACGTGCAGTTGCCAAGGGCGGCTCAGACATGCTCTTGTTTCTGAGTCGCGCAAAACTGAGATTCTGACTGGCAAGGGTGGCTCACTGTTGGCTGCAACACTCACAAGGCTGTCTGGGTACCGATACGTATGCTTTGGGGGGCAGTGCTTGAACGCATCTTTCAGGTTTGTAGGCAGATCGCTTTTCGCCTCTAGATCTGCCCATGGGCTTTGGTCGGGCGAAGCATTTATGAATCGATCAAAGAGGTAACCCCTAGTAGGATTGCTCCGGGCATTATTTGCATGGCTGGGCGGCAATTTAGAGAAGAGGTGAAATAATTCAAAAGCACAGAACATTTAGATGCATGAAACGAATATATCTATTCTTCAATATATTAAAAGCGAGTGTTTCCCATGACACCCATGACTGAGTAGGTTACCTGAACACCGGGCGCCACCCCAAGTCCGGTCACAAATCGTCGACTGAATCAGTCTCTGGCCATCTAAGAGGTATCTTCGCGGAGGAAAAAAAGGGAAGCAAGTAATAGCCCAAACGCCTTCACAGCAGTCTTCAGCTTCAATGAAGCAGCAGCAGAAGCAGCACTCTGTTGCTGGATTTGAATATGCGTTCGATGCACCCGGCATTTGCCAGGAAATCCTCGCTTCAAACTCTACAGTTTCGCTGCCTTTGCTTTCCATGCCTCTATCTGCTTTAGAAAATTCGAGTGGTCGAGGTCATACTGTGACTTCTCGGCCTTCAAGCGCTCCTGCAGGGCCTCATCGCTCTCTCCATTCTTCCTAGATGTGGAAGGCTTGGCCGGGGGTGCTACGATCGGTTCGACATGGTCAAATGAATCTATAATCCACTCGACAAACTGAGCCCATAGTTTTGTCCACACCTCTTCTAGTTTGGATCGTTCAGCAGAATCCAAACTGGCGTGTTTGATGCTCCATTCAATGAGTTGACGCCAGCCGTGGAGAGTCATTGCCTTGCTTCCAACCATGACCTCATAGAAATCGTGGGACAGGGTAGACCTGTATCAATCATGAGTATGTATGAGGAGAAGGACCGGTGAATATGGTTCTACTTACTTGAAGAGCGTTCCATTATCGCTGCTGAGTGTGCAGTGAACGTCGTTTGCCAGAAGCTCGTACATCGCATGACCATTCATTCTTGGCGTCAACCCAAGCACCTGATTAGAAATAGGACACAACTCGAGACATATGTCCCTCTTCTTGAATTCCGAAATCAGGTAGGGCTTGCGGGCCAATGCAAAGCCGTGGCCGATTCTCTTGGAGTCTAGCAAGAGGGCGTCTAGCAGGTTGTCGTCCGTATCGCCGCCCAACTCGAGGGTTTCGCCGCAGTGGAAGAGGAACGGGATGTTGACCTTTTGCTCTCTGCACTTTCGCTTGAACTCCAAGAACTCCGGTATAAAGGCCTTGAGCGGCTTTCCTTGGGCTTCTTCGCCCACCAAATCGAAACCGGCAATGTAATCTCTAAATTCGCCCGTCTTGAATGAAAGGCACTCGTTGAGACTGGCCTCCACCTTGTCGGCAGAGAAAGAACGAGGTGTGCAATAAATGACCTTTAAGCCGCATACTGTCGTACTCGGTCTCTGTTGCTTAAACTTTTGGAAAATCTCGACAATCTTCTTCATGGTTTCCCGATTATCTAACTGCTTGCTGCCATCGTCCGTGTATATCTGGTTAGTCATCATAAAGTTTGGCCTGATCTCAGCGTACTGGATCCTGTCGCGCTCAAACTCCTCGAGGCAGCTCCAGGTATACTTGACAAAAGCAGTCTCGTAATTGAAGAGACCCTTCATCATCCTTGTGCGCCCATTAAACTTTTCCCACGCCCTGTGTGAGGATTAGCCAGTGCGTCATGAATCATTAGCGGTGAGGCAACCTACCCTTCAGCAGTCTGTAGAGAATTGTGAGCTTCCTGATCATCAAATACAAGCTTGCTGATTAGCCAGTCTTTCCACGTCATGGCTCCGGCGCCCTTGTCGCTCTGCGAATGTCCTGCTCCTGACACGCCTAGACCCCTAGAGAGGGTTTCTGGGAGAACAGAGCCTTTCTTCCGTCGCTGGTCCCATTGCTCTCTAAAAGTTCGATACTTCATCCATGACAGACGTTGATTTCTCTCATCTGTCAACTGGACAAAGTTGGAAGAGAACAAATTGTGTGTATCCGAGCTAGACCGGCTGGAAAGTTCCCGAGGCCCAATATTTCTAAGTTTGGTCCTGTCGGCTGCGACGACATCTTCCGACTTCATGAGAAACTGGATTTCACAGGTATTGAAGTTGTCCACACTGTCCAGAGGTTTGTCGCTGGATATGTACATTTGCTCCATACCTTGGGCAATGTCCAGTAGAACATGGGGCAAAAGCGTAGAGTTAAAGTGAATGTGTAAGTGCGCCCCCTTGGGCATACGAGTCGTAACCTTGAACAAGACAGTCTCGTTGAGTATATCCCAGTTGGTCAGGAAGTGGTCGCCTGCCCATCGACGATGTTTCTGGCCGCGGTAGCCCGTGAGCGGCTCGGCCTGTGAGTAGAATGCGACATCATCATTGTGCCTTACAATATCGAGCAAGTTCTTGGCCTTGCGCTCGGCATCATCGGCATTCTCGGTAAGGGCATGATCAAAGGCTAGCTGCTGACCACGTCTTTTGATCTCTGCGCGATCGCGAAAGTATTCCGGCTCAAGTTCCTCAGAGGTTGGTTTGCTTTGCTCCGGCTGCTGGTCCAGTTGTTGTTGTTGTTGTTGTTGTTGTCGTCGTCGTTGCGCATGCTTGGCATCCAATGTTTCCTTCTTCTCGTAGAACAGAGGGTTTTGCGCATCGAGTCCATCTAGCTTTGTGCTGACCTGTTTATCATAGCGGCCCAGCACTAGCGCTTCTTCCGGCGCTGAAGCACCCATCCTGGGCCCTCGGCGTTGAGGGATGAGTTTCTTGTGTAGTTTTGGTGATGGTGGATCCAGTTGTTTCTCATGCGGAGGTTCCCGGTAATGATCGTTATCAACAAGTTTGCTACACGACGCCCCCATGAGTGCATGCGGCGGGCGAGAGATGAGGCTCCCTCCCGAGAACAAAGAGGGTCTTTTGGGTTTCCTTAAGTAGAGGGAGTGGATTCTGGGATGTATTCCCCGTAAGTTGGTAGGCACAGGGCTAGCTACCGAGCTACGTGCTCTAGTGTAGGATCTGATGACTGCTGCTCGTGGCAGGCGGTGGATTTTGTTGTTTCAATAGACAGCCCTGAGGAACAGAACAGACCAACCAGCAATATATGCCCTCTCCTGTCGCAACAGGAAAGATGGTGATGCAATGATATATGATTGCAGATGAGCTATCTAAAGCGACTATCTTCAGAAAACGGTAACAGCCGATTCGCGCGCGCGAGCGATGCGATGAAATGAACGGGGAAACAACGCCTGAAGCAGTTGGTGGTTGTTGTTGTTGGTGATGAGAGGTCGCATTCCAGCGACTGACTGACTCCCTTTAGGCAAGATCGGTAAGGTGGGTAGGTGGAGTAGTAAGAGATGGAAGCGGGCACGTTTCTTTGTCCTTGTTCTCTGTCGGGCGGGGACCTGACCAAGGCTGTGTTTCCACGCTATCGCTCTTTTCCCGCATGCGTGCGCGCGCCCTCTTAATGGTCAGAGAGAGCCCAGTCAGCCTATCCGGTTGTCCCAGCACTGTCTTTGTTTCTGGAAAAGAGGTCAAACATTGCAAGGGGGGAGGGGAGGAGGTCGGGTCGGGGGTGGGCGTGCCCAGCAGCAGGTGCTGACCATGTTGCTTCCACTTGCTACTAGGTATGTAGGTACTGGGGTAAGTCCCCCCCATGTCGGCTTTTAGTCGCCCATTGACGGTCGGTACGCGCCCAAATGCAATAGACATCACCCAGCCTCCCCGCTCAATGGCTTGCTTGCATGCACTTACCATGGTGGGAGCCTGGATGGATCTGCCATCATCTGGAATAACTCTCCAACACCCTAGATTATTAACCTATTGGATGCCTTGATGAGTACCTATGCAAGTATCCACTACATGGTTTGGTTATCATTGAGACTTGTATGATGCATTTGTGATAATCCTGCCTCGCAACCCCTTCCTCTATTGCATAGGGCGACACGCCGAAGGGAATTCAATCAATGCTTGCTGATTTCCCAAACATATGTCGCGTGACCTATCAATCCTCATTCGGTATCGTGCTGATGCATCACTTTGTTCTATTTTAGTGCTTTCTCTACTTGTTCCAAAGGATGGCTTCACTCGATTATCCCAAGTCACCATTTTCTACATTGATAGCCGAAAATACACACTAGCTAGTCTGACCATATCCGGAACATCTCGTCGAACCCGACAAAGGGTTTCGATTCTCACCCCGCCATCCGCACCTGTTTCCTCAGGTACAGACTCAAATCTGCCTTCTAGTCAAGAACTCGCGGGTGATCACCAGCTCCGGCACTGGAGGCAACCTCCTCCGATCAAGAACAAAAATTTATACAAGTGTTGGCTTAATCGTTTCATGAACCTGCAGCCACCAACCTGTGTCATGATATGTCAGTTTGCCTCATGGTCGAGCTGATGTGATATCACTTTGTCCAAATGAAATTGACAAAAGTCTACTCAAATTCACAGATAATGAACCCAGTAGAAGTCAAACTTTTCTGCTGTAACATTATATGCGCAATTCATCAATCTTACTAACCATCAGATTTTTTTTTTCTCCCAAATCAATTCGACTCCACATGATCGATTCGAATGTTCGAAAGCGATGGAGCAACTACGCACTACTTTTCCTCCTTAATTCTGGCTTCCGGCCAAACCGAAGCCAACATGCTGGGCAGCACTTCACTGCGGGTTCGCTGGCTGTTCGTGATATCAAGAGATTAGTTAGAGCCGGTGGCTTGGGAAATCTCCACTACCATGCTCCGAGAGTGACTGCTACGCCGGACCGGAAGGATGAGAGTGGCTATGCTTTCCCACGTCTCCACAGCCACAAGACGTGATTGCGAGCTCTTTCTTGATGTATAATTTACAAATGACATATTGCAATGTACGATATTAACAACAATATATAAAAACAGGGATTCAAAGATATAGCCCAAAGTCTCATCTTTGGATGAGCCAAATGCCTTACGGAATGCCCGAATATATAATATGTGATATTCAGAGCGGTTCACTGCTGGGATGCTGGGATGCTGGGATGCTGGGATGAGATTCTTCAACTCTTTTTTTATATTGCAAAAGACAATAAGCTTACACAAACAACAGATCTATGTGATCAGAAGAACATATAGCATGAAAAAAAAATAGTTCCGGGGAGCTCTATTATCTCACAAGCCAACGAATGAATAAACTTGCTGTCAATATCAGATTCTGAAGGACACTTTTTTTACAAGCTGACCGGTCAGTTGCCAATAATCAAACATGATACATGCAAGCATGTAAAATGATGATTGTTTCTGTATCCGGATAGTGTGACAATCTGGTAGACATTGAGCTCGATTTACTTCACAAAGCTATCTGCCCTAGAAGCTGAACCGACAGAGTGTCAATTCCTTGATCTGCATTAATTTTTCATTGCTTTGTATACTCTTGTCAAGATTAGCTCCAAATTAAGGGGAGGGGACGATCTAATCTAGTAAAATCTCGGTTTAACGGCTCCTCTCTCGTGCAAAGCCTCCTCTTAGTGTCTCGCCTAAATAACTACCCAGGGAGGACTGGGGCGCAGGCTTCAAGAAGTGGTCGGCCGGTTGGCTCAATGACGAGAGACGGGCTTCTCATCTGCACACAGAACGATAAATCTAAACTGATCACGAAGTAGGAGTCTAGGTAGGCAACAGCGATGATACAACATGGCAAACACTGCTGCTGCGCGTCGGGCAGGCAGGAATTCACTGGGAGTGTGCGGTCGAGGAACCTCATCCAGGGCCACTTGGGCTTTGGTCTGCGGCGCAGTGATTGCTATGCAAGATGTTGTTTCTTCCCCATGTGGCGGGACAATAGACTGGTTCCGGAGGGATATTTGTAAATACACACCGCCTTTTAGACAATGAATGGAATGGGAGAGCGCAGAAACGAATCTAAATGCACGGGTGCATGTAGCCATGAAATGAGCAGTCAATAATGATTGGGTTCGACTGTGAAGAGACATCTGAACCTTTAAGCGATGAGAGCAGACACATATCATGTAGCAGGTACGAACAAACACACACAAGAACTTTGGTCATGCATTGTTCTATGACCTGGTATACGCCTGGCGTCTCCATCTCTATTGCAGGCCTTGCTGGGTAAAAAGGTACAGCCAATTCTTGATAAACTTCGTAAAAGAAATCCCCAACATTGATTTCAAGAGCGCCCAAAAAGTATCGGAGAAATGGAAGCAGCGAAATAGTGAGTGGAGTCTGCCTCGCAAGATTGAGGCCTTTCAGCCTACTAGAATGGTCTCAAGTGTACTGCCACGCACCAAAGGCAGCATCGATCTCATGCTCGACAAGACCAACAGCCTGGACGCAATTAGTCTCATTGAACTGTGGTGTATTTGTGTACAGTCGATAGCTTGCGCCAGTTCCTTTCATGTAATCCTCAACGTTTGGGCAGAGGTAGACGCCGCCCAGATCAGTACCATTGGTGGCAAGAAAGTCCAGAACATGTGTTCTCGGACCACACTCGGATACCACGGTCTTGTTGAACCATCCGCCAGTGAGCGATCCCGGAGGCATGTAGGCCGAGTGGGCTTGGGTGAACTGGACTTGGCCGTGCGGAGCAATATAGATGTCTTGGCCCCCTGGGACCTCAACCTGTGGAAAGGAGACGGGCGTCAGCTTCATCAGAAATAGTCTTGGAAAAACTAGGGAAAAAGTTGCGCCTCCAACATACCGCCATAGCTGACATTCCTTGGTAAACAAGAGTTCCACGAGGAGCGGGACAAGCATCTCCAACTGGACAGTATGTGGCAGGCTCGGAGAGGCCGAGGTAGAAGCCACTACCAGCGGCATCGATGTCGGCACCATCTACCACCGTACCGGGTGCAAAAACGGTAAGTCTGTATGTTGTCGCTGAGACCAGAGAAACGAACAAGAGGAAAATAAGGTCAGTCATGTTGGCTGTTTCGGGGACAAGACGAGTGACGAGAGTTGTGGTTGCCAAAATCGCCAGTAACGAGCGTCTAGCGAACAAAACACCAAGAAAGAGGTCCAAGAAACCAAGCTTGTAGAGTGGTTGGGATGGTTGTTCGCAAAATGGCACTGGTGAGATAATGAACAGCTGTAAGCAAGTAACCAGAAGAAATCGTGAGTTTCAGTTGATGTCGCACGTCGTGCATCGTGACTTCTGTTCATGGCTAATTTAGCAGGCTCGTCTACCTACTCGGCGCACCTACCGTAAATTTCTTCTCATTCTCATCGTGTACCAACAAGTGAAACCATATTTAAGACGTGATTACCTCAACCTCGATTGATAGTTAGGCAAGTTCTTCCTGCCGTTGGTTGATTCGGTCTGCGTATAGGTACCAATCATACCGGAAAGCACATGGCAATGCATCTGGCAAGAACATGATTGAGACTTGGGTGACAGGATCTTTCTAGAACGTGTTTCTTTTTCTCTCTCACTCTCCTATGCGAACTAGGAGTTGGTACCTCCCTCACAAAATGGCAAGTCATGAGGACGATGCATCTTTCAAGGGCCAAACGCTCATGAGTCCACTCATTTCCGGACCGCAGAGGCACTTGCAGAGAAATAAGACAAGTTCACTTGTCCTACCAAGCACAATTCATGATACAGGGAAATCCCATTGACCTCGAAAGCGTGGAAGAAATTCTGCATCCAGGCACCTCGCCACCTCATTTCTAATTTGAGATCCGTCGTTGGAGTCTTCGCTCGAATCAAAGAGACACCACGGGCTGCATGAATGCTTTTGATTGAAAATGTCGTGAGTTTGCCTGGTAACCTCATTTCTTCATGAGAGAAGCAATATCATGCCGCATACTACCTACGCATGCATGCATCCACAGGGGGTCGGTTTGTCGAAATTGTCTCAGTTGCAATCAATCAATATTGCTTCACTGAACCTGTTTCGTACGCAAGGTCTTCCATCAAGATACTAGTCTCAAGAACAAAGGTGCTCGCTCAGCAGTCAGGTAAGCTATTGGTGGAAATGATTGAGCCACGAATCTGGGTACAGCATCGTCCGAGAAGGCGGGAGGCTGAACCTTGTGAAAGTCGGGCCCGTAGACCTCAGCCGGTGATGATGCACCTGACGAAGCCGCCGGAGCCCGGCCCCGGCGTGACCGATGATAAAAGCACGCGTCGAGATGCCTCTGTGCTCTGGCGACCATATCCACAGTTTCTACACCTGATAAATTCTTTTCTCTTTTCATTCAAAAGTCAACAGATGCCGTCTAAGAGCTTGGAGGTTCTCATTCTTTGGCCATGAAAAAAAAAAAAGGTGGGCGTCAATCGATAGCTCTTCTGGCGCGCGAGGCAATCATCATGTTGGCTGCACGTAACATGAGCATGAAGCGCATCTAAGCGCAAGGTCTGGACAGTCACACACTGGATATCCATGTGGCACCAGTAGCAGCTACATACCAATAAAGCTGCCTGCAGATATCCTTCGACCCTTTTCATCGACCCCAAGCTGGAGCCATGAGCTATACGAGCCTCGACTACAACACTGTCCTGCCTTGGCGGATTTTCCTCCAATAGATGGACTACTCCTTTCAGCACGCAAGCATAGGCACAATGATGAATTAGGTCAAGTTCATAATAGAAATGACCATCACCTGAGCCAGTGCCGGCTTGTGCAACCAGCGCCAGCAATCATTCACGTTTCGAGAAATGCGGAGTGCATGGTGAGGCCAGGGTCTCGAGGCTTGGCACGGCGGCCATGCGTCCGTCCGTGGTGGCCATTACCTGAAAGGCTTTCTTTGGCCCTCATTTCCCATGTAACATCACCCTGGGATAAGATATTCCTCGGCCTTCTCTCAGTGCCCGATTAGCCGTGCAGTTCAGGTAATAATTCTACAATATGTACTATACTAGGACCCCATGCTTGCGGCTTGCCCTTCGCGTGACTCTGGTGTGTCCAATAAGAGGCGTGGATGTATGCATTCTGCACACATGCATTACCCCTGAACTATATGAAAAGCAATGTTTCAAGATCGTCCAGATCTTGACTGCTACCATGTATTCAGGGAATTAGCCACGGAGAATTCTCTCGTTGTCTTTCTTGGTTGAGCCTCATCACGTAAAATCCAAGGCGAACCTCTTTCTCCAGCACTGCCCTAGCTGCGATGTCACCTCAAGCAGAAGGGGTCCAAGAAGCCTGTTCCTTCATCCAAGAATGCGATTCGAGGAATATTTCAAGTCCATGGGCCGTCGGCCTCTTCATGACAATGATTGGAGAACGACATCATGACTTCATTTTTTGCTCTTCCCAAACCCACTCGTGTCATCACAACAAGAAATGTATAAAAGGAATACGCACGACCGTAGAGTCGAAGAAAAGAGAGATCAGCATCATCAGATCGATCACAGAATCACTACACTCATTTTCCTCATAGTGAAACAGTAGTCTCAGACCCTCATTGTCTATCCTTCAAGATGAAGTTCCTTGCTGCCTTTGCCGCTCTGGCCGGCCTTGTCGCCGCTGTGCCAACCCCAACTGAGGACCAAGCTCTCGACGTTCGCGCCATCGAGAAGAGAGCAACCATCACCGACGCTGCTGATGTAGGCTATGCCACTCAAAACGGCGGTACCACTGGTGGAAAGGGCGGCACCACCACCACCGTCAGCACCCTCGCCCAGTTTACCGCTGCGGCCGGCTCATCGTCAGCATATGTGATTGTCGTGAGCGGAGCCATCTCTGGCGCCGCCAAGGTCAAGGTCACGTCGAACAAGAGCATTATTGGAAAGTCTGGATCTAGTAAGTCGTGCAGACGAATTACCAGCCCGATACACACACGAAATAAAGCCCTTTACTAATGTTGAGAATAGGCTTGACCGGTATTGGTCTGACCATCAACGGCCAGTCCAACGTCATTGTCCGCAACATGAAGATCTCCAAGGTCCTGGCCGACTACGGTGACGCCATCACCATCCAGGCCTCCAAGAACGTCTGGGTCGACCACGTCGACGTCTCGTCTGACCTGAACAACGGCAAGGACTACTACGACGGTCTGATTGATGTCACCCACGCCTCGGACTGGGTCACCATCTCCAACAGCTACATCCACGACCACTACAAGGCGTCCCTGGTCGGCCACTCGGACAGCAACGGCGACGAGGACACTGGCCACCTGACTGTCACCTACGCCAACAACTACTGGAAGAACGTCAACAGCCGTACCCCGTCTTTCCGATTCGGTACCGGCCACATCTTCAAGTGAGTGCCATTCATTTCTATTGAGTCGTATTTCGACCAGAGAAGAGGGGGAGGAAAGAAAAAAAAAGAATCGATAGCTGACATGTGAACAAATAGCAACTACTACCTCTCCCTCGGCGACAGCGGTATCAACACCCGCATGGGTGCCCAACTCCTGGTCGAGAGCAGCGTCTTTGAGTCGAGCGCCACAAAGGCCATCTTCAGCGACGACAGCGACGAGATTGGCTACGCCGTCGTCAGCGACGTCAGCCTGGGCGGCTCCACCAACACGGCCTCGACCGGCACCCTCAAGTCGGTCCCTTACTCGTACAGCAAGCTTGGCTCCGGCAGCGTCAAGGCATCCGTTACCGCCTCGGCCGGCCAGACCCTTTCTTTCTAGAGAGAGAGAGAGAGAGAGAGAGAGAGACATGTCTGCCCCCTTGAGATCATGGGGCTGCTGAGTAGCTCGGCGAGATTGTAGTAGTAATTGAATGCCGAATAGTTAAGGAAGTTGAAGTTGGATGGAGGAGGTGGAGGATCTGTGATCGATTTTGATGCGGCTCATTAGGGCTCCTACACTCATTTGATCCCTTCAATTCGTATGTACATAGTTCAGCGGGAGATAGTCTATAGCCTCATTGCTGTATATATGGCATATCTTTGCAACAGCCGCATTTGTGTCGATGACTACAGTGGATAAACTCTTTTGTCATTTTCAATTCCTGTGTGAGCAATTGGTTATGTTAAAAAAAAAAAAGGTAAAATTGCACACTTGCTAGTCCACCATGCGTACAAATCGATGGGAACCAAGAAGGCGGCCCGAGCCTATAAACGCTCATGCAACGTCATGCCGAGTATTGACGCAATGAACTAGGATACCCATCCGGTGCAGCCTTATCATAGCAGAACCTGCCGCTGCCAATACAGGACTTCTCTTCGGTAAGAGTGGCGATTCCGATACGCGCCGTGTTGGTTGGGCCTGCATTTAGGTCATGACGTGCCTGTATTTTGTTGGCTGAGATTTGTGGATGGACAATTAGAGTGTATCGCTGCATTGTGGATATGGGAGAGCACTTTGCTTTCTTTTTTGTAGGTGGCCTCATCGGGGTAATGTTGCAACCAATGATATTGGCTTCAGCCGAGACTATCTTGATTGACCAGTTCATACAGCTAACTTCACACTCTGACAAGAGTACACTCTGATAAGCCCCATCGTATTCTAGTCCTAGTATGAACGAATATGGCGGCTTTCTATATATGTGTGATCCGTATCTTTCATTGCTTGTGAAGTCTTTTGTTTTCTCTCTTCTCTCCATGCCTGGGATTACCTAGTGAATCAACACGATCGATTGATTCACTAGGTAATCCCAGACGTCACAGAACGGTTATACTTTTTATCTTCTTAACAATTATATTGCTTACATTTCTCTCGATGAGCAGAATCATGCGTGTGAGTAAATGAGCAAGCTTGGCTCTCTTCACTTTCTACACATGGCTAATATCAATGTTGATAGCTACCTGAGAAGCTAGACACTCAGACCTCGAGGCGTGAACGGCTCAACCAGTGACACTTCAAGGATGGCCCATACCCTCTGAATGTCCCAAGTCGACACGGGCATTGAGGAGATGTGGGTCGGCATGTGGTTGTTGACAAGGGGCTCACCATTGTCCATGGCATCTAAACGCCAAAGTTCCTGCTGAAGGTAACCGCGAGTGTGTACACAACCTTCAGCACTTACTTTGGCGTTTACATGCCCAAGTGGTCACTGTATACTGCAGTATACAGTGACCACTTGTCGGAGAAGGCTCATTAGTATGCCCTGGTGTTGCGACCCTTCATAATCATCGTGTCAGCACTCGTCTCTTGCCTCGAATAGTTCGAGTCTGAGATGTCTTCAGAAAGTTTTTCAAGAGGGTGTCTCTGTCAGGAGAAAGGTTGGCATAGCCAGCTTCCCTGGTGAGTTTGATCATGATTTATGACTACAATTTGACCAGAGTAATAACAAAAAACCAAGCCCCCTTTGACACACTGAGCCATAGACCTAGATTACGTCTCAAAACTGATCTACCTCATACAATTTCCTGTGGAAACATGAGAAACATCGCCTTACCATACCCACCACCACTTCAGTAAAACTTCAAACATATCAAGATCATGTTCGAAGTAGGCAGAAAGACACAATCACCTCTAACACGATGCCTCCAGAGCCAGAGAGGCGCCACCCAGACAGCATGGGAGAATTCAACTTGGACCAAGATTTTACCATGGCGGCGCTTCCCTACGAGCTGTTCGACATTGATCACTACCAGACGTATCCTCCTCCAGGTGATGAAGACACATATTCTTTTGACACTATACCAACATTGACGAACCACACAAGTCCAGTGACATCCATGGATGACCTGGAAGAATCCTTCCGACAGCCCACAGCTAGCCACCCATGGGAGGAGAATTTCCCTGGAGCTCATCATTGTGTCCACTACCCGGAGGCTGATCTGAACCAGTCTTTTCTCGACCCGAAACAGATTTCTTCGCCTTTCAACTTTACTTCAGCAGGTCCCACGTTTTTGTCTGCATCGACTGAGGGGGCAGTGGGTACTGTAGAGCCACCGTCGACAGCCAGGAGACCCTCGACTGGGGTTCTAGCAAAGCAAGCGACACCATTGTATTGCCACTCATGCCAAATATCATTTCCTCGCCGCACAGAGTTCAAGTAAGCACATTCTCACCAAGCCAAGTCAACACAGGGACATGTTTGCATGTGGGTCTTCTTCTCAGCTGATCTCAAGTTCGCCTTTCTGCAGTAAGCACAAGAAGTGGCATGACAAGCCCTACCAAGTAAGCAACTTCCAATGCCATTCCTGTCCTTTTCTGGGTTGTCTCATGAGCAAGCATTGCCCAAATTGGTGCTCCAAGAGAGCAGGCTCAGACAAATCACTTGAAGGAGCTGTTTCAAACTCATTTATTTACTCTACTGGGCAATTGCTAACACATGTTGTAGTGCAACAATTGTACCTACAGAACCAATACCACAAGGGATATCAATCGCCACCTTGAGAGCTGCCAGCCGGATAGTCATGGAAAGCCAAGGATCCGGTGCGATTTTCTAGACTGCCAGAGCACGTTTGGGAGAAAGGACAATCTTGACAGGCACCAGCAGGACTGCCATGGTGCTCCGCGAAAGAAGAAGAAGAAGAAGAAGCAATGAATGATTGGAGGCCAAAGGCTTTGGAGTAAAATCATCAGACCCAACCAAATTGCAAGTAAGGATATCCCCCTTCCCCCTTCCCCCTTTCCATGGAAGGATACTGGTCTTGAGATCCTATTCACAGACAACGACTCGAATAGAAAGCCTTGCTGATGTCCCCCGAGTATAAAACACAACCTCGACCGAACCAGTGCATAGGAGCTCAAGCTCCATCCTGCCAGCGAATATATCGTTTTGGCAGGCGATTCGAATGACGGATCCTGACGCCAAGTCAAAATGTGGATGGATCGTCACGATTGGTGTATGTAACGAGTCACGATTGATGAATACTTCATTTACTTTCCATGGTTGGGTTTTGTCTGGGATACATGATTCTTTTCCTATTTTGAGCTTCGCACGGATTCTGGGCACGGCGCACTAGTATCAAGAACTCCATTCAACAAGGAGACGAAGTCTGACAATTGAAAACCTCGCTTCATCTGCATTTTGCACCTCATGACCTCTTTTTTGTGAAGTCCTCATCTGAACACACAGGGAACTCAACACGAAAGGAAGAGTATATGTCGTCGAGCTTCAGTCCATGTACTGGATAGTAGATGGCCCAGCGAGGTGACGAGAAACAACTTGCAAGGCTTCGGAGCAAAGTCACTTCGCGGAAAGTGAACACATACGAGTGAAAGGATGTAAATGATCATGTTCAGCGGGAATCTATGTCCATGAAGAATGCACTATGTATACCCTCTCAACTGGATTAAGTCCTCCGCTCCTTCGCGAGACACTCAAGAGACTTTGGTGCAGTTCCATCCGATACTTGATCGGTGGTGCAGTCATCAATCTGATTCCTGTATTCCTCCCCAAGTCCATTAGGTTTTTTCCCCCCAAATCATTTCGTACTATTATTCAATTCATTAAGCCACGATGACTGCTACCGTCATCGCTTCATCCAAACCGCAAAAATTACAAGAACATGGCAAAGATAGCGATGACAAGACCGCCAAGGGAGGCAGTGGTGGTGCGCGAAGATCCGCTGGAGGCAGGGGCCGAGGTAGCGGCACTGGTGGCAGCAGTGGAAGAACCAGCAGTAGCCGATGTGACAGCCGTAGTCTTGCTGGCCGAGGCAGAGGCACTGGCGCTTCCGGAAGCAGTGCCAGTAGGAAGAGAGGCAGAACCAGTTGCCGAGCCAGTCTCAACAGGAGTGGAGGCGGTCACAATTGGGGTGCTGATGGAGGCGGTAGCGACCGAGGTAGCTGTCTGAGGGGGAGGGACCTGGATCTGGCCGTCGCTGATCTGGCTAACGGGAGCACTGGTCGGGTAGTAAGAGGTGACGGGAACAGCGACCGTGGTGGTGATGACCTGGGGCTGTCCGTCGGTCAGAGCAGTGACAATGGTGGTCTGAACGACGGTGGTGCCAACGACCTGGCCATCACCGATCTGGCTGGCAGATTCGTCCGAGCCGCAAGGAATGGCAATGATGGAAACAGCCTCGCATTGCTCAGCCCAGTCCTCGTTGTACAAGTTGTAGAAGTCGCCAGACAAGCAGCGGTAGAAGGTCTTGTTGCTGCCAAGAGCAAGCAGGTTGTCCTCGCAGACGGAGAAACCGCTGGTGTAGATGGCGCCAGCTTGAGGAGGTCCATCGAATTGGAACTGGAAGTTGGAGGCGATGTAACCAGTGCGGTCTTGAGAGTCGTAGATGGAGTCGTCCGACAGCGACAGGACGAGCACTCCGTTGGCTCCACACTCAGCGCGCTTCTGTATAAATTGTCAGTACGTGTAAGACGATTCGCTCGGCCACCAGACTTTGGTGGAACGACCAGGGCAGATATCTTACCTGGACATCAAGATCCCGCTTGGCGTAGGTGACCTGGGCAACGGTGATCTCGAAGTTTCCATCGAAGCTTCCCGAGCAGCCATCAGGAATTCCACCTTCGGGGGCGATCTTATCCGTGACACCCTGAGCGAATGCAGCGCCAACGAGGGCGAAAGCGACAGCGGCGGACTTCATCTTGTAAATGCTGACAATGACGATGAAACTAAAGAGATGCAATGCGATTGACGGAATTAAAGCAACGAGGCGTGCAAATGCAAACAACGATAGTGATGTCCTTTAGCCAAAGCGAACACAACGACAACAAACGACTATTCCGGGGAGGAAGGGAAAAAAAAAAGTGGATAGCGTTTGGTGAGGATGGTGGCGGCGATTGGGTCTGCTTTGGATATATAGCGAGTGGAAAGAGGACAGCTTCTTCTCTCAACAACTTTTTGGGAAGGAAAAAAAAAAGACTCGACAGACTTTTTCTCTCTTGCTATTGCGCGGCAATTGCGATGGATTGATAGACACGGGAAGGAAACAAGAAGGGAGGAGTGGAAAGGAAGGGGGAGCTCAAGGTTGCGGAATATATACCATATGTATCTCGTTGGGAGTGGGAGGGTGGACTGAAGGGGAGGGGGGGGGGTTGAAAGACATGAAAGCCCGCCAGCCAACCCGTACATAGCCAGCTACCTACCTACCTACTTACTACAAACAACAACATAATAACATCAATGCATGCATACATTAGTACTTACATTGCCTTTGCCTCCAAGCGAAATCAATTCACAGTGTGCCGCCTTTTTTGCTGTTTGTTGTCCAGGGTCTCTGGTCTGTCCGTCCCCACCCCCCCCCCCCCCCTCCCTCCCCCCCCCCCCTCCTCCCCCCAAATCCAGGTAAAATCATCCAGACCGTAATAAAAGAAAGAAAAAAGGTGTACATCCATCCCAGTTCCTTTACCTACCAGAACAGACCTGCCCAAGGCCACCGGCCGAAAGTACATTACTTGCATGCCTCACATGCAACAATGTACATGCCAGCCAGGCCAGGCTCTGCTTTGGCACCTCCTTGTTTGTCTTCCCAAGTCAACAAGTCCATTCCTGGTCGTCCTCATCCTGCTATCTCCCCCTACCTAGTCAGTTGAACACGACATATCACGACCATATCTTCCCACCCATCCTACATTACCCACCCTCCTCTTCACATAATGCACCGAAGCTACTATCGTTAGCGTCTACATGAATTGACCATACGCAGGCCACCAGCCAGCCAACGTATATATCCTGTGCATAGGGAGCACGTACAGTACGTACGATAGATACCCTACAAACAGCCAACTAGCTAGCGAGAAAAACGCTTGTGTTGATGCCGGCATACATGGGAACCTCCATAGTATGTAATGCATTTCCCGGTCCCTCGCCTCCCTCTCTCCCTTCCCTCCCAATCCAACGCATGCAAGGCCCAACCTCGACTTTCTCTGCCCTCTCCAATCTGCCCAGCTACAAACAGAATGGATAGACATTGTCCGTGTGTGACAAGGAATCGATCGGCAACGGGCGCCCACTCCTGCTAGATTCCCTGCTTGGCTGCTTGGCGTGGTTGGGGGTGGGGGATTGCTTCCCACTTGTGCCTAGTGCCGGTCGTCGGGGCGAGGATCCCATGGATCCATCTGCCATTAGTGTAGGTCCTGATAGTGAATATCACCCCTGCTACAGCCCTCGAATGTCCCATTGCTTCAGGGCATTTTCACTGCGCTAAGACGGCAACTGCTGCAGGGGGTTCAGGGCGCTATAATGGCCCATTGGATTTGGCATGCACTCTAAACAGGCCTTTTTGGGATCAATACATGCACGCCCACTACTGTGGCTGCCGCGTTTCTTTCCCTTTCAACATACATAGTAAAGAGAGGCAACTTTTTTATACTTTCTACTTATAATTTGCAATGACACATTTTGAAACATGAAAAATATTTTTTCTATTCCACAAGGCTTACTTGGGAACACAGCAAAACTTGTCATAAGATCCAATTTGACACATCCGGCTCTCTCATGCGCATGAACTATGATGCCTCGACTGTCATGATGCATACGACGGAGCAAGTTTCCATGCTGTTGATGTCTCTTGTGTTCTTGAGCCTCCCTTTTTGACACAGGTCATCAATGACTCAGCACACAATCCGTCATCCCGTGTCTGCAATTCAAGGCCCGATTGTTTTCTCCTTGAGCCTCAAGGTTCGTGCTATCATCACAATCCAAGCAGTTGGGCCAGCACGGCAATCAACGGGTCCCAATATTTTCTGCCTAAATATCCATCTCAATGCCTGACCAATCATTTCCACCTCGGCTTGGCATTTGAATTGTTGGTAAACATGTGTTTTTGTACTTTCGTAGCATGTTATTATATCAGCATGATCAACCAAGTCAAATCTGCAAAAAAATGGAATTGGGAAATAGATTGGTTCATAGTTTCTACTCTTCGGCTTACATGCCATGTCGTAGCACAGATAATCACTGGCCAGTGGGCACATCAGGGTTACTTGCAAGCTAAGTGGCTGCTGTACTTTAGCTATCTCGAGTCTATCTCGTGCCGAGTCGTGACACGTTGAGATCGATTTGATGTCTGGTCTAGGTAACATGAGGATTAAAAAAAGTCAATTGACACGACCCTTGCTTGCGCCTAATGATCACACGCTGCAGCCTCTCTCTCTGGCTTTGGCTGGAGCCCCTATTACAGGTGGTTCGAATTGTTCCCGCGGCGTCTACATATCTGTCACAATTGTGTTCGATCTTGGGTACAATTTGGATAGCTAATACATGCAATCGTCCACATTTCTCCAACAGTGCAGGCGACTAGGTAAGATTGCACCCTGCTGAAGGCACGCGAGCCCTGGAACAATGACCCAAACACCCGTTGTTGTTGATATGGAAACCTTTGAGGCAGTGCAAGTAATGGCAAAAATGCCAGACTACCATGAACAAAAATTGGTCATCTCAGACTGAAACGCCAATGCGATGATGGGATGGCATTCTTGCAATACCGATGACCATTTTTTGTTTGTCGGGTCGTCGGTGCTTCTTCACATGCTGGCGGCCCACTCTCTACTACCCTACCCGAATCCACAGCACTAAGTGGACTGACTTTCTTTTTGAGAGTTGCCAGCGATCAATCGATGCCGACAGGGATGGATTGGATCAGCTCTCCAGCTCTACCCCGTCAATTCGCAGACCGATGATCGACGGGCCCCCGCCGCCGCCGCCGGCAAACAGCACTGACCTCTTGGCTCCATACTTACGTATCCCACCTTACGATTTTCCCCTCCCAAGCTTCAGATCGACTTGTGATGATGATGGTGATAATGATGCGAGGTCGCGATCCAATGACTTACTGCCAACGGCCAAATTACATCGATTGCACCTGGCAGATTTCAAACCCTGCGGCAACGTACTGCAGGCCAAGCCAGCGGAAGAGCCCACTGCAGTACCCGTTCCGGAACAGATGCAGCAGCAGCGGAGGTAGAAGAAGATAGGGACCCTGGCCAGTATTCAGTATCATGACTTCTTCACCCATGACTGATTGGGTCGACCAAATCCAGCAACATTTGGTTCTTCCTCCTCGCCCCTTGAGTCGCATTTCTGACTCGGCTGCGCATACTATAGTACACCCGCTTAGCCGGTTTGCTGGGCCTCCAATGGGGAGACATGGAGGATTAGACATCACTCTTCCATCCCATGGTGTCACTGCACAATACCCAGTCATGGTTAATCGTTGTAGGCATCGAACCAAAGGGACTACCGGTATTCGTACAGAGTAGTAGGTATGACCATCAGATCATGCTGTCGCGCCGCCCTACTGCAACCAGCCTACGCTTTGCAGATGCATCTCGCAGCTGTCACACACCATCAAGGGCTCATGAGACTCGACATTTGACTTTTTTGGTTCATGCTGTGTTCTGCGGCTTTCTGCGCTGCCAAAGACCCTCGCCCATGTTCATTCGTGAGCCTTGTACGACAACTGCCCTTCGTATCCTGCTCTGATGGAGAAAAGAAGAGAGAAAAGAAGAAAACCGGCCAGTAGTGTAGTATTCACAATATTTTACCGGCCAGCATCTACTAGAAACCGGGAAGATGCAACCAGGATCTGTCAAGATCTGCGTGACGGCTCACTCGCTCTGCACCGGAAATTGGAACCGACTCTTATATCCAGTCGCTCGTCTGCTCCAGCTCCTCCGAAGACCCCGAACATCGGTAACGGCCGCAACTTTGTTGCCGGCCTCGTGGTCAAATCTGTGTGAAAACTCTGGCCTATCTGGATTGTGCGTCTAATGCGGCACAACCATCAGGTTGGACCGCATAATTTCTCGTGCTTGTACAGTGGTTACAGTTGAAATAACAGGTAAGACCCGCAACTTTAACACACTACAAGCTTGTCCTTCAGGAACTCGTGTCTCCCGAGCCGCCGGAATCAACCATGGGCTGGCCGTTCGTGATACATGGTCAATATCCATCAGCCACTAACCTAGTATACAAGACCAAGTAACCACTTGAAAACCGTGTTTCTAGCGACACACCACCTTTCCCAGGGCGTGGTGTGGCTGATGAGAGACAAGTCACACACGAACACGCCTGCACACACTGACCACCAAGAAAAAAAAAACATACATACTTGACAGAACCGTTTCAGATATTCCATGGATGGAGGGAGAGATACTCGTATGGAAACAGCTGCCAATCTAGGCGGATCTAGGCGGCTTTGAGGATCAAGTTTGACCACTTATGCAGGGTGAATGAAACCCCATCCAATAACAGTCACTAATCACGATGCAGAGGCAGGGAGTATATATGCAAGCAGGCCTGGGCAGCGGCGCGAGGCCAATGACACCTAGTCTGGCCGCAATTCAATTCTATCCAGCTAGGCCCTATGGTAGGAGTGCAAGACACGGCAATGTAGTGTATTGTTGATCAATCTCCTTTTCTTTACGTGAAACTTTTCTTCTTTCATTTGGCGGCCGGATCTCAACCTAGATCACGTCAAATATTTACAATTTGCCCCTACCCATAGCCTCCTACCACTTGCGCTACCCAGATTTTCGACGAGGCGTGAGATTCCAACAGAGTCTATCTCACTTGACATCGTATTCCCACTCTGACGGATATATCGATGGATCAGAGAGTAGGCTCATACTGTGTAGCTAGCCC